GATTTTGGTTTTAAATCCTTCGATTTTTTCATTTTTAGACTCTCGAATTTTCGATGTTTCTTTTTCTTTTTTTCTTGTTTTTTCAGTTTTCCAATTTGCATAATTTCGAGTTTTAAAGTATAAATTTTTTAGTTTTTCGTTTTTTCTTCTATCTCGAATTTTTATTGTCTTGGTTTTTCGATTTGTCGTATTTTTATTTTTCGTTTTTTTAACCAATTTTAAAATTTTCGAATTTTACACTTTTTGATGTTTCGATTTCTAGATTGCTCGATTTTCTTATTTTTCAGTTTTTCGATTTCTTGATTTTCGATTTTTTAATTCTTCGAATTTAGACTTTTTGATATTTGATTTCTTTTTTTTTTGTTTCTTCAGTTTTTCGAGTTTTCAAGTTTAAATTTTTCAGTTTTTCGATTTTCCAACTTTGAAATTTTTCAATTTTTAGGTATTGCAATTTTTATTTTCTCTATTAATTGGATTTTTCAATTTTTCGATTCTTCGATTTCTTTGGTTATCCACTTTTTGATGCTTCGATTTTTCAATTTCTTGAATTTTCGATTTTTTTTTATTTTCAGTTTTTCGATCTTCGATTTCTTAATTTTCAATTTCTCGAATTTCAATTTTTTAATGTTTTGATTTTTCGACTTCTTGAATTTTGGTTGTCTTGATTTTTCGAATTTTCCGATTTTTTAATTTTTTGATTTTTCCATTTCTCAATGTGTCGTTTTTTCGAATGTTTAATGTTTTGCTTATAATAATAATAATAATAATTTATTGTACTCAACAGAGATTAATCTCCAATTACAGAATACAAAACAAAAGTAAATAGTAGTCTATCTTACAAATAAATAATTAAATACAACGTATGCCTGCAAAATATATCTAAACATCAAGAAAAAAAAAACAAAAAAAAAAAAATAGAACAGTAAGGATAGCTCATTATAAAAAAGAGTAGAACAAAATTCTGACGCTCTGTAATTATGTGTTATGCTGTAAATGTATGGATTTCGATTGAAAAAACTTCCTTACCGCTACACCCTTGGGCCAAAAAGATGCAGCCAGAATATCATTTTGATATACAAAATCGATAGTAAGTTTGAAAGAACTATATAACTCAGGAAATTTAGAGTCCAATTTAATAAGCTTAAAGTCAGGAAGACGTTTATTTTTCAGCACTTCTTCATGGGATTTTAACTTAAATTTGATATAATCAGTAATCTTGTTCACATCAACATTAGGGTTTACTCTTGTAATATGTATATGACTGCTTTTTTTTCTGGTGACAGCTACGAAATCATGATCACTCGATGACAAATCTGACGAACCTGAACTAGAAGCTATATCTGCTGAGCCAATAATTAACTTACTTACTTTCGGCCGACGTTTTAAAGTATCACCTGTTACCTCCTTCTCAGAAGGATTTTTACCATTGTCTGAAGAATTATTTAGATCAACTTCATTACATGAATTCGTATTAGGATAAATAATAGTGTTCCGTATTTCAGGTTCGCTTTTGTTTACCACTTTTCTTGCTTCCACACCACTCACGTTTTTATTCATAATCTTACTCGAAAAAGCGTCCATTGATGATAAACTACAATCAGTGGAGCCTCCCAAGTTGTTCGAACTTTTTATCAAAATGTCTATCATCTCACTTTGCGTTTTTACACGATCCCTTAGCTCCTTTATAATTTCGTCTTTTTGTTTAATAATATAATTGAAAACAGCAATATCAACCTTTTTCTCAGGTCCACTCATTTGTTCCATTGCTTCAAAAAACTCAGAATCTTCGCACACAACAGGAGGCATTTTCACTTTATCACAGCAAACTAAAGACTTACTGTCCAAAATTTTTACATAAGATACACCCTTGGCACAACTAAGGTGGTACACATTATCACACGATATACATTTTAATGCACTGACAACTTTTGATTTACATTTTCTGCAGATTTGTGCAGACGTACCGGACTGACTACTACTATTGGCATCCATCTTGGCTATTCCAAGATGCTTATGATTTCGATGATTGATTTTTCGAATTTTTATTGTCTTCATTTTTCGATTTCTCGAGATTTTGATTTTTCGTTTTTCGATTTTTTTTCATTTTTAAAATTTTCGAATTTTAGACTTTGACGTTTTGATTTTTCGACTTCTAGATTGCTTGAATTGTCGATTTTTCGGGTCCTCAAATTTTGTTTTTTCGAGTTTTTGATTTTTCGATTTTTCCATTTTTAGATAAAGTCGCGATCTTTTCTATAGAACCACTCCCTAGTGTAAATTTTCAAAATTTGTTTGGTGTAAGTGACCTTGACGGGTTTCTGGGGGAAAACATATGTGTCAAAAATTTGACAGGTTAGATGGCCCCATTGTCAATGTGGATATTTTATTTTAATAAATAGATGAACAGAACATACAGTCTGCACGGGATATAGTGCGGCATGGCTGAGGGCAACCGAAACATTTGTGTTGTGCTAGTTTCGATTGCCATATCAACTACCGCTACCAACCGCGTTCGGCGTAAAGTACTAGATGACAGGGCTACCAACTTGACTTTTTATCGAGTGGTTCCGTAGAAATGACCGCTACTGTATTTCGACTTTCCGATTTTTTAATTTTTTAATTCTTGCAATTTTCGACTTTTTGATGTTTCATTCCAGTTTTCAAGTTTAAATTTTTCAGTTTTTGGATTTTCCAACTTTGGAATTTTTCAATTTTTATTTTTATATTCTTTATTATTTATTCCATTTTATAATTTTTTGTTTTTCAATTTCAATTTTTCGATTTGCAGTTTTTCATTTTTAAATTTTTCAGTTTTTCGATTTCTCGGTTCCTCAAATTTCGATTCTTCGATTCCTCAAGTTTTGAATTTTCCGACTTTTTAGCTTTTCGATTTCTCAATTTTTCGTTTTTTTCGAATGTCAATTTCCATTTTCAGATTTTCGGATTTTTAATCCTTCGAATTTTCGATTTTTTTATGTTTGATTTTACTTTTTTTGTTTTTTCAGTTTTCTAATTTGCAATATTTCTAGTTTCCAAGTTTAAAATTTTCGATTTTGCAATTTTTATTTTTTTTTTTTATTATTTTGATTTTTCGAGTTTTTGATTTTTCCACTTTTAAATTTTTCAATATTCCAACTTTCTGAATTTCCGCTTTTTAGTTTTTCGATTTCTCAATTTTTCGTTCTTTCGAATGTTTAAAGTTTTGATTTTGGTTTTAATTCTTTCGATTTCTCGAGTTTTTCATTTTTCGTTTTTTCCATTTTTCAGTTTTCTAATTTGCAGTATTTCGAGTTTTCAAATTTAAATTTTTCAGTTTTTAGATTTTCCTACATTGGAATTTTTGAGCTTTTATTTTAATTTTTTCGATTTTATAATTTTTTGTTTTTCAATTCCAGTTTTTCGATTTGCATTTTTTCGTTTTAAAATTTTTCTGTTTTGCGATTTTCCAACTTTTGAATTTTCCGATTGTTTAGTTTTTCTATTTCTCAATTTTTCGTTCTTTCGAAAGTTTTGATTTTTCGATTTTGGTTTTTAATCTTTCTATTTCTCGAGTTTTTGATTTTTCAACATTTCGACTTTTTAATTCTTCGAAGTTTCGATTTTTTGATTTTTTATTTTTCAGTTTTCTAATTTGCGATATTTCGAGTTTTCAAGTTTAAATTTTTCAGTTTTTTCGATTTTCCAACTTCACAATTTTTATTTTATTTTTTTTATCATTTCGATTTTGTAATTTTTTGTTTTTTCAATTCCCATTTTTTCATTTTGAACACTTGCGATTTTCCAACTTTTGAGTTTTCCGATTTTTCTATTCTCATTTTTAAAATTTCCGAATTTTAGATTTTCTGATGTTTCGATTTCTAAATTGCTTGATTTCCCGATTTTTTTATTTTTCAGTTTTTAGGTTTCTTGATTTTCCATTTTTATTTAGTTCTTACGACTTTCCGATTTTTTAATTCTTCAAATTTTCGACATAAACTATTGACTTTTTGATGTTTCATTTTTTATTTTTTTGTTTATTCAGTTTTTCGATTTATAATTTTTCAAGTTTAAATTTTTTCGATTTTCCAACTTTGGAATTTTTCAATTTTTATTTATTAATTTTTTTTTTGTTATTTCGACTTTATAATTTTTTGTTTTTCAATTTCAATTTTTGGATTTGCATTTTTTCATTTTAAATTTTTTCAGTTTTGCGATTTTCCAACTTTTGAATTTTCCGATTTTTTAGTTTTTCGATTTTTCGATTTTGGTTTTTAATCTTTCTATTTCCCAATTTTTCGTTTTTCGAATGTTTAAATTTTTTATTTTTCGATTTTTTTTTCTCAGTTTTTCGTTTTTGCAACGTCAGAATTTTTCAATTTCAATTTTTCGATTTGCAATTTTTCATTTTTAAATTTTCCAGTTTTTCTATATTCCAGCTTTTGAATGTTCCCGATTTTTTAGTTTTTCGATTTTAGTTTTTAATCTTTCGATTTTTCCATTCTTAGATTCTTCGAATTTTCGATGTTTTCTTTTTGTTTTTTCAGTTTTCTAATTTGCAATATTTCGAGTTTTCAAGTTTAAATTTTTTATTTTTTCGATTTTCCAACTTCTGAATTTTCCAATTTTTTATTTTTTCGATTTCTCAATTTTTGGAGTTTGATTTTTCGATTTCTCGAATTTTTATTTTTGTTTTTTTATTCATTTTTAAAATTTTCGAATTTTAGACTTTTTGATGTTTCGATTTCTAGATTGCTTGAATTCTCGATTTTTTTATTTCTCAGTGTTTCGATTTTTTAATTCTTCGAATTTCCGACTTTTTGATATTTGATTTCTTTTTTTATTTTCAGTTTTTCGAGTTTTCAAGTTTAAATTTTTCAGTTTTTCGACTTTGGAAATTTTCGATTTTTTGATGTTGCTGTTTTTATTTTTGTTTTCTTATTTCTTTGTAATTGTTTTTGCATGTTTTATTTAAATAAAATTAGGTTTTTTACGTGAAAAGGAAGTGTGAAAAAAACTACTAGTACATGCGTTGAATATTTACTTTTGATATGAGTCAGTAAAAAAATGTCAAAGTACAAAAAAAGTATCGCTAATTTAAGACTAGAAAACAATACAATGTATAGGTTACAAGTCTAATCTCATTGCTTGATGTACGTAGCTCGGTCTCTACATTAATACCATACCTAGTACCAAAAACAGCAAAAATATATATATTTTTTTTTTCATAACAAGCAAACAATATCAAAATCGTAATTCTTCTCAGAACGTATTTCAGTAAAATTTTTTATAACAACAAAAAACACGAATACGAATTGCCTCGACTTCCAGCTCGCACTACCCCTACGCAAAAAAGCACTCATTAATACACTGGCAGCATGATTGGCACTAACGTAGTGATTCAAGAACAGGAAAAAAACCAAGTGCGACTTAAATCTAAAACCCTTCGTTCCCTCTCACTCCCCCTCCTTCCCCCTCGCCTCCAAGTGCACCCCCATCGGCCCCAGCATGTTGCTGCTCGGCCCCGCCTCCCCCATCTGCGCCCTGTAACTCTCCAGGATGTTCTTCAGCGCGTTCATGTCGATGTCCACCGGCTTGAAGTTCTCGATGTCCTCGAACCCGTCGCCGTTCTTCTTCTCGAAGCTCTCCCCGATCGTCGTCTGCGCCAGCTCCTTGTCCATCTCCTCCATGTACTGCTTCATCTTGTTCTTGACGCCCTCGTACGACGCCTCGTCCACCGTCTCGTCGGCGTAGTCGCTCATGTCCGAGCCCGAGTCCAGGTCCCAGCTGTCGTCCTCGGGGATGACGAAGTTGAGGATGTTCTGGACGGCGCAGGAGAAGGCGTTGGGGTCGAAGCTGATGCGGTTGTTGGGGGCGTTGGGGTCGGGCTTGGTGCCCTGCGCGAACGAGACCTTGTTGCGCTTCTTGACGCCGCGGGGCGGGCGCGTGGGGGAGTCGTCGGGGTCGGGGTGCTCGACGCCGTCGAGGTCCGACACGTGGTTGAGGAAGTGGGAGAGCTTCTCGGTGAGGGTGGCGGCGGTGGAGTTGTTGTTGATGGTGACGAATTTTTTCTGGCCGTATTTCTCCTCGAGCATCTTGTCGAGCTCTTCGGGGGTGATGTTCAACCTGGAAGGACAAGCACGTCGAGAATTTAGAATACATAAAGTGTAATTTTTCAATTTTCTGGTTTTCAATTTTTCGATTTTTCACCTCTTAGATTTTTTCATTTTTGATTTTCAATTTTTGTAGTTTTCATTTTAAATGTGTAATAACAATAATTTTAAAAATTGTTCACTTTTACGATTTTTGGATTTTTCCATTTTTCGTTTTTTATATTTTCGATTTTTCAATTTTTCGTTTCGAAATTCCTTGTTTCGTTTTTTTTCCTTTATTTTGACAATTTTTCGAGTCTCCAAGTTTAAATTTTTCAGTTTTTCGATTTTCCAACTTTGGATATTTTCGATATTCAGATTTTGCAATGTTTGGATTTTTGTTTCTCGAGTTTTAATTTTTCGATTTGCAATTTTTCTTTTCGGTTTTTTATTTTCTTTATCATTTCGATTTTATAATTTTTTGTTTACAATGTCAATTTTTTCAATTTTTCGATTTGAAATTTTTCAATTTTTCATTATCGAATTTTTCAGTTTTTCGATTTTCCAACTTTCGATGTTTCAGTTTTTAGACTTTGCAATTTTTCGATTTTTCAATTTTCTCATTTCATAGTTTTTCCTTTTTTTGATTTTTCAATTCTTCGACTTTCAGTTTTTCCGTTTTCAATCTCTGATTTGCAATTTTTGTAGTTTTCATTGGAAATCTGTAATTTAATGGTTTTAAAAACCATTACACTGAAATTTAATTTTTAGAATTTTCGACTTCTCCATTTTCCCGTTTTTAGAATTTTCGATTTTTCCGATTTCTGTTTTTCGAATTTTTATTATCATGATTTTTCGATTTTTCATTTTTCATTTTTCGATTTTTCTTTTCTCATATTTAGAATTTTCGATTTTTCGGTTTCTAGATTGCTTGAATTCTGGATTTTTTGATTTTTCAATTTCGATTTCTTTATTTTCAATTTTGGTTTTAGATTTTTCGATTTTTGCACTTTCTCATTTTTAGATTTTTCGAATTTTCCAATATTTCGATTTTTCGACTTGTCGACTTTTTGATACTTCGATTTTTCTATTTTTCGAATTCCCGAGTTTTTGACTTCTCCATTTTCTCATTTTTAGAATATTCGATTTTTCCGATTTTTCAGTTTTTCGATTTCTGTTTTTTCTTTTCTTTTTAATATTTAAGGTTTTGCTTTTCCTATTTCTCGATTTTCGATGTTTGATTTTTCGAATTTTTATTGTCGCGATTTTTCTATTCTCATTTTCGAAATTTTCGATGTTTCGGTTTCTAGATTGCTTGAATTCTCGATTTTTTGATTATTTTCAGTTTCGATTTCTTGATTTTCGATTTTGGTTTTCTGATTTTTCGATTTTTGCACTTTCTCGTTTTTGGATTTTTCGAGTTTCCTAATATTTCGATTTCTCGACTTGTCGACTTTTGATGCTTCGATTTTTCTATTTTTCGAATTCCAGATTTTTTTAATTTCGAGTTTTCGACTTCTCCGTTTTCTCATTTTTAGAATATTCGATTTTTCCGATTTTTCAGTTTTTCGATATCTGTTTTTTCTTTTCTTTTTAATATTTAATGTTTTGCTTTTTCTATTTCTCGATTTTCGATATTTGATTTTTCGAATTTTTATTGTCATGATTTTTCGATTTTTCGGGTTCTAGATTGCTTGATTTCCCGAATTTTTGATTTTTCAGTTTCGATTTCTTGATTTTCGATTTTTCGATTTTGGTTTTTTGATTTTTGCATTTTCCCTTCTTTAGATTTTTCGACATTTCGATTTTTCAGTTTTTCAAAAAACGAAAGATTGACGTTTTTCGTTTTCTTCGATGCATCAATTTTCAATTTCTCGATTTTCGATTTTTCAATATTTTGGTTTTTCGATTTCTCATTTTTTTCATTTTTAGATTGTTCGAATTTTCTTCAACTTTTCGATTTACAATTTTTCTCTTCGAGTTTTATTCTTCAGTTTTTCGAATTTCCAACTTTTGGATGTTTCAATTTTTCAATTTTTCGATCCTTAATTTTTCGTTTCAGTTTTTATTTTCTTTATTTTTTTCAATTTTTCGGTTTTGTAATTTTTGAATTGCAATCTTTCTAGTTTTCATTTTAAATATGTAATAATAATAATTTAAAAAAATCACATTTGCAATTTTACAATTTTAGAATTTTCCGAGTTTTCGATTTTTCATTTTTACAAGTTTTCGTTTTGCAATTTTTCGTCGGCTTTTTTTCTTATTTTTACGATTTCTCGATTTATAATTTTTTTGTTTTTTCAATTTGCAATTTTTCGTTTTGGTTTTTTTTCTTTGGTTTTTCAATTTTTCACCTTTTAAATTTTTTCATTTTCGTTCCCGAATTTTTGATTTTCAACTTTTGTAGTTTTCATTTTAAATGTGTAATCACAATAATTTGAAAAATTTTTCTTTTTTTCACTTTTCCGATTTTTATATTTTCAATTTTTCGATTCTTCAATTTTTCATTTCTACAAATTTTCGTTTCACAATTCCTCGTTTCGTTTTGTCCTTTTCTGTTGACAATTTTTCAAATTATCAATGTCCGGATTTATAATTTTTTGCTCTGTTAATTCGAATTTTTTAATTTTTCGATTTGTAAATTTTTAATTTTAATTTTTTTTTGTTTCTCGAATTTTACGACATGCAACTCTTCGAATTTTATTTTTTAGTTTTCAGATTTTTGGATTTTTAACTTTTAAGATTTTTTTATTTTTCGTTTCTTAATTTTTGATTTACAATTTTTATAGTTTTCATTTTAAATATGTAATAATAATTTAAAAAAAAATAACTTTGAATTTTTGGATTTTAGAATTTTTCATTTTTTGATTTTTAATTTAAATTTTTTTTTTTTAATATTTAATGTTTTGCTTTTTCTATTTCTCGATTTTCGATGTTTGATTTTTCGAATCTTTATTATCGTGATTTTTCGATTTCACGAATTTTTGATTTTTCATTTTTCGATTTTTCTTTTCTCATTTTTTAAATTTTCGCTTTTTCGGTTTCTAGATTGCTTGAATTCTCGATTTTTTGATTTTTCAGTTTCGATTTCTTGATTTTCAATTTTTCGGTGGCTCGAATTTCGATTTATTGAATTTTTAATGTTTTGATTTTTCGATTTTGGTTTTTTGATTTTTCGATTTTTGCATTCTCTTTATTTTCTTCAACTTTTCGATTTACAATTTTTTTCTTCGAGTTTTATTCTTCAGTTTTTCGAATTTCCAACTTTTGGATGTTTCAATTTTTCGATTCTTAATTTTTCGTTTCAATTTTTATTTTTTATTTTTTTCAATTTTTCGGTTTTGTAATTTTTGAATTGCAATCTTCCTAGTTTTCATTTTAAATATGTATAATTTAAAAAAATCGCATTTGCAATTTTACAATTTTAGAATTTTTCGAGTTTTCCATTTTTCATTTCCTAAATTTTTCGAATTTCCAACTTTTGGATGTTTCAAATTTTGCAATTTCACGAATTTTTAATTTTCAGATTTTTCAATTTTTATTTCTTTAATTTTTCGTTTCGATATTTTATTTTCTTTATTTTCATCAATTTTTCGGTTTTTCAATTTTTGATTTGCAATTTTTCTAGTTTTCATTTTAAATATGTAATAGTAATTAACAAAATTTCACATTTTCAATTTTCGAATTTCCCGAGTTTTCGATTTTTCATTTTTACAAGTTTTCGTTTTGCAATTTTTCGTTCCGGCTTTCTTATTTTTACGACTTCTCAATTTTTTGTTTTTTCAATTTTTCAATTTGCAATTTTTCGTTTTGGCTTTTCTTTGGTTTTTCACCTTTCAGATTTTTTCATTTTTCGTTCCTTAATTTTTGATTTTCAATTTTTGTAGTTTTCATTTTAAATGTGTAATCACAATAATTTTAAATATTGTTCACTTTCACTTTTCCGATTTTTATATTTTCAATTTTTCGATTCTTCAACTTTTCATTTCTACAAATTTTCGTTTCGCAATTCCTCGTTTCGTTTTGTCCCTTTATTTTGAATTTTTTTTAATTTATCAATGTCCGGATTTATAATTTTTTGCTTTCTTAATTCGAATTTTTTGATTTTTTGATTTTTAGATTTATAATTTTTAATTTTAATTTTTTTTTGTTTCGCAAATTTTACGACATGCAACTAATCGAATTTTATTTTTCAGTTTTCAGATTTTTGGATTTTTAACTTTTGGATTTTTTAATTTTCCGTTTCTTAATTTTTGATTTACAATTTTTATAGTTTTAATTTTAAATATGTAATAATAATTAAAAAAAAAAAAACTTTAAATTTTAGGATTTTAGAATTTTTCATTTTTACAAATTTTCGTTTTGTAATTTTTCGTTTCGGTTTTTTTTCTTATTTTTACAATTTTTGGATTTATAAATGTTCCGAATTTATATTTTTTTGTTTTTTCACTTTCAATTTTTTCGATTTTTCCCTTTGCAATTTTTCATTTTTTTTTGTTTCTTCAATTTTACTTTTTAATTTTGTTTTTCAGTTTTTCTATTTTCCGACTTTAGGACGATTCAATTTTTAACTTTTGCAATTTCATGAGTTCTAAATTTTTCGATAGTTTTATTTTCCATTTCTTCAATTTTTCGTTTAGTTTTTTTTTATTTTCTTTAGTTTTTCACTGTGAATTTTTTAAATTTTCGATTTTTCTATTTTTCGATTCTTAATTTTTCAATTTTCCGGTTTTCAATTTTTCGTTTTTCAACTTTTAGATTTTTTAATTTTTCGTTTCTTAATTTTTAATTTACAATTTTTCTAGTTTTCATTTTAAATGTGTAATAACAATAAAAAAAAAACTATTCAGGAGTTTTCAATTTTTCGATTTTTCAATTTTTGGATTCTCAATTTTTCATTTCGATATTTAATTTTTATTTTTATCAATTTTTCGGTTTTTCAATTTTCGTTTTACAATTTTTTGTTTCGGCTTTTTTTCTTATTTTTACTATTTCTCAATTTATAATTTTTTGTTTTTTCAATTTGATTTTTTTTTTTGTTTTTTAAATTATATTTTTCAGTTTTCCTATTTTCCGACTTTAGGATGTTTCCATTTCTAGTTTTTGCAATTTCGTGAATTTTAAATTTTTAGATAGTTTTTATTTTCCATTTCTTCAATTTTTCGTATCGGTTTTTTATTTTCTTTAATTTTTCAGTTTTTCGCTTTTTCAAAGTGAAATTTTTAAATTTTTAATTTGTAATTTTTGTAGTTTTCATTATACATATTATAAAAAAAATTAAAATTGTTCACTTTTTTAATTTTACGATTTTAGAATTTTTCGATTTTTAATTTTTTATTTGTACAAATTTTCGTTTTGTAATTCCTCATTTAGGTTTTTCCTTTATTTTTAGAATTTTTCGATTTATCAATTTCCCGATTGTATATTTTTTTATTTTTTCAATCTCAATTTTTTTTAATTTTTCGGTTTTTTTTGTGTTCGATTTCCAACTTTTGAACGTTTCAATTTTTAAATTTTGCAATTTCACGAGTTTTCAATTTTTCGATGTGAAATTTTTCAATTTTCCTGTTTTCAATTTTTCGATTTTTCAACTTTTAGATTTTTAATTTTTCGTTTCTTAATTTTTAATTTACAATTTTTCTAGTTTTCATTTTAAATATGTAATAATAATTAAAAAAAAATAACTTTTTCAATTTTAGGATTCTAGAATTTTTCAATTTTTCGTTTCGTTTTTTTTGCTTTTTTCAAATTTTCGCTTTATTCCAATTTTATAGTTTTTTGTTTTTTTCAATTTTTATTTTTTTTTGTTTCTTCAAATTTACGATAAATTTTATCTTTCAGTTTTTCGATTTTCCGACTTTTAGATGTTTCAATTTGTAGACTTTGGTATTTTCACCAGTTTTATTTTTTCAATTTTTCAATTTTTTATTTCTTCAATTTTTGGATTCTTAATTTTTCGTTTTGATGTTTTTTTACAGTTTTTCAATTTTTAATTTGCAATTTTTGTAATTTTCATTATAATTATGTGATGATAACTGAAACAAAATTTCCCATTTTCAATTTTACGATTTTAGAATTTTCCGAATTTTCGATTTTTCAATTTTACAAATTTTTTCAATTATTAAATTTTTCGTGTAGGTTTTTATTTTCTTTAGTTTACCAATTTTTCGGTTTTTCAATATGAAATGTTTAATTTTCGGGTTTTCAATTTTTCGATTTTCCAACTTTTAGATTTTTCAAGTTTTCGTTTCTTCAGTTTTTGATCTGCAATTTTTCTAGTCTTCATTTTAAATTTGTAATAAAATAATTACAATTTTTAAAAATTTTCACTTCTTCAATTTTACGATTTTGAATTTTTCCATTTTTCAATTATTTGGATTTTACAACTTTTTCATTTATTCAGATTTTCAATTTTTCAGTTTTTTATTTTTCAATTTCTCGATTCGATTCGTTTTTTCTTTTTTCCACTTTTTCGATGTTGCTATTTTTCGCTTAAAATAAATGGAAAAATTGTAGAATTGAAAAATCAAAAATGAAAAAAGGAAAAACTATAAAATGAAAACTTTGAAAAATTAAAAAAATGGAAATGAAATACTTGAAAAATTGAAAAATCGAAGGATCAAAGATTGAGAAACTTAAAAATCAAAAATAAAAAGTGCAAAATCGAAAAAAAAAAGAAATATGTATTGTATATTTTAAAAAAAGACATGCAACTCTTCGGATTTTATTTTTCAGTTTTCAATTTTTGTTTTACAATTATTATAGTTTTCATTTTAAATATGTAATAACAATTAAAAAAAAAATCTTTCAATTTTAGGTTTTTAGAATTTTTCATTTTTTATTTTGAATTTTTAGAAACTTTCGTTTTGTAATTTTTTGTTTTTTCACTGTGAATTTTTTAAATTTTCGATTTTTCTATTTTTCGATTCTTAATTTTTGATTTGCAATTTTTGTAGTTTTCATTATATAATAAAAAAAATAAAAAATTGTTCACTTTTTGAATTTTACGATTTTAGAATTTTTCCATTTTTCGATTTTTCAACTTTTAGATTTTTAATTTTTCGTTTCTTAATTTTTAATTTACAATTTTTCTAGTTTTCATTTTAAATATGTAATAATAATAATTAAAAAAAATTACTTTTTCAATTTTAGGATTCTAGAATTTTTCCGTTTTTCGATTTTGAATTTTTCAATTTTCCATTTTTACAAGTTTTCGTTTCGGTTTTTTTTTTTGCTTATTTTTTCAATTTTTCGCTTTATAAATGTTCCGATTTTATAATTTTTTGTTTTTTCAATTTTGATTTTTTTTTTTGTTTCTTCAAATTTACGCCAAATTTTATCTTTCAGTTTTTCGATTTTTCAACTTTTAGATGTTTCAATTTGTAGACTTTGGAATTTTCACCAGTTTTAATTTTTCAATTTTTCAGTTTTTGATTTAAATTAAGAATCCAAAAATTCTTCAATTTTTGGATTCTTAATTAATTGTCGTTTCGATATATTTTTTTATTTTTATCAATTTTTCGGTTTTTCAATGTTTAATTTGGAATTTTTATAATTTTCATTATAAATATGTGATGCTGATGATAATTAAAACAATATTTCCGATTTTTAATTTTACGGTTTTAGAATTTTTCTAGTTTTCAATTTTTCATTTTTACAATTTTTTTCAATTATACGAAGGCTTTTTATTTTTTTTAGTTTATCAATTTTTCGGTTTTTCAATATGAAATGTTTAATTTGCCGGTTTTCAATTTTTCGATTTTCCAACGTTTAGATTTTTCAATTTTTCGTTTCTTCAATTTTTGATCTGCAATTTTTCTAGTCTTCATTTTAAATTTGTAATAAGATAATTATAATTTTTAAAAATTTTCCATTTTTCAATTATTTAGATTTTACAACTTTTTCATTTATTCAGAATTTCAATTTTTCAGTTTTTATTTTTTAATTTCTCGATTCGATTCGTTTTTTCTTTTTTCCACTTTTTCGATGTTGCTTTTTTTCGCTTAAAATAAATGGAAAAATTGTAGAATTGAAAAATCGAAAATGAAAAAAACGAAAAAGTATAAAATGAAAACTTTGCAAAATTAAAAAATTGGAAATGAAACACTTGAAAAATTGAAAAATCGAAAGATTAAAGATTGAGAAACTTAAAAATCAAAAATAAAAAGTGCAAAATCGAAAAAAAGACAAATATGTATTGTAAATTAAAAAAAAAATGAAAATTAAAAATTTGAATAAACCAAAAATTATATAATCGAAAAAATAAAGAAAATGAAAAAACGAAAAATTATGAGATAAAATTGAGAAACTGCAAAATCGAAAAAATGAAAAATTGCAAAATTGCAAAACGAAAAATTGAGAAATTTGGAAGTCGAGAAATTGAAAAATTGAAAAAAAAGTTGAAAAATTAAAAAATCATGAAAAATTAAAAAATGAAAAATAAAAAAAAAACGAAAAATTATGATATTTCGAAATCGATAAATACATTCACATTTTTCGAAAAATTATAAGATTACGCTCAGTAAGTAAAAATAATGCGCAATTACTTGAAGAAAATCATCATTAATTTACGCCGACCTTTCAGGTCGTATCGACAATCTCCTTCATTAGTAACGGTTATTTAAAACGATGATTAAATAAATCTAGGAACGGAACTGAATCACTACATCAACCACCCTTACCACGAATCATCATCATCCGGCGGCAAACTCTCCTCCCTCTTCCTCAGCTCCTCCGCCCTATACTCCAGCCCCCTGCTCAACTCCAGCACCTCCTGCCCCACCAGCGGCGTACTCCTCATCGAATCCCTATGCTTCACATAGTACTCCTTCGCCTTATTCACCAAATCGTTGTACTCCCGCGACCCCTCCAGCAACCCCCGAAAATAATTCTTCTCCCTCAGCCTGCCCACGTACCTCCCCCAGCCCCTATCCTCCTCCACGTCCTCGCTCGGCTTCGCCTCGGCCGCCAGAATCTCGAACCCGCACGCGATCTTCACCCCCAAATCGTGGCTTTTAAACTGCGGACTGTCGTTCCTCGGCAAATTCCACCCCGTCCTGCGGTCGGGAACGTACTTGCTGTGGGTCAGCATTGCGTACAGGCATTTCGTGAATGTCACCCTGACATTAACGCGATTCTCTGGAGGAAAATACTTCATGGCTCGGATCGTTTTGGCATCGACGGAGTCGCGGTTGCAGAACACCTGGACCGCGGGCGCTATTAGGGCGGGTTTGTGGGTCAGGATGGCCGCGATGCCCACGGGCAAGTAGGCCGTGGCGTGGTGCAAGTTGGACGCGATTTTCCCAGGGTAGTCCTGGAGTTTGTTGATTATGCTGTTCTGGATGTCGCAGGAGGCGAGGGTCTCGGTGGGGTTGTTGAGGATGAGGGAGAGGGCGGAGGAGAGGGAGAGGGAAGGGTGGGCGGGGTCGGTGAGGGGGATGATGTGGAGGTTACCTTGGAAGAAGTACACCTGGAAATTGAGACACCACACTGTTTTATTCGGGTGATAAATGAATCAGAAACGCACCCTTTTTTCGCAAGTGGTGGGGTCTGCCCATGGGGGTAGATATTCAGCGGCTTCAATTAGTAAAAATTCGCCGTCCGCGTCATAAATTCTTGCGATTAAACCGTCGATTTCTTTGGTCAGCTCCCGTAGAAGGAACACAATGAACCATTCATCCTCGATATTGTCACCAAAGTGAGTCACGCCGTGCAGATGTGGGGGCAAGAACTCTGAAATTCATAAATGGGGTTCCTTGTTTAAATCGAGCAACGGTTTCAGTCGTCCTAACTGTTATCGCTAAATTTTTAGAAATATTTTAGGGCACGAAAAAATGCCTGTCAATCTCATAACCTCAAAACCACGACAAAAATTGGGAGACAAGGCGATACAAAAATTAAACTACCTGTGTTTTCGTCGCCGTGAATCAGGGAATTGCTGACCCAAGTCCTCACACTCAATTTGAACTCATCTTTGTGCCACAAGTGCTCCTTTGTGTACTTCTCGACGATTTTTTCCGCCTGACACAGAAACCGGTTCAAGACGATTTCCTGCTCCTTGTCATCGCGCGAATCAATCACCGGAAAAAGAAAATACTCCACGAAATCGTCTTCACGCACTGATTCAAGAACGTTCGCTTTACTGGCCATTGTTCGTTTGAATAAAAACAATCAATCAAAAAATTTAAATGACATTGTTGACAAATGACGTCACGTCTGCCAGGTCTACCACACAGTTCACCACCCTAACTAACCAAAATTCCCGCAAACTTGAATTACCTGAATTAAAAAAGATGACATAAAGCAAGACATAAAGTAAAAATGCGGGAACTTGGAGGCTCCTCCTCGATTCGGGTTGCCTCCTTGCGGAGCATTTGTATAACACGATTCCTTAAGAACATATTTCACATGGTAATTTCTCGTAGAAAAATAAGGTTCTTACAATTAAGCTCCGCCCCTCGGCTTAAGACGAATAAAAAAATCATCAGAAATGAGACAGGGCGGGTGGGTGGGGCTTATATTTTGCCCTTTTTTCAATTTTTCATTTTTACAAATGTTCGTTTTGTAATTTTTCGTTTCGGTTTTTTTTCTTATTTTTACAATTTTTGGAATTATAAATGTTCCGAATTTATAATTTGTTTATTCACTTTAAATTTTTTCGATTTTTCGCTTTGCAATTTTTTTGTTTGTTCAATTTGGTTTTTAGTTTTATTTTTCAGTTTTTCGATTTTCCGACGTTCTTTAGGACGTTTCAATTTTTAGATTTTGGAATTTCATGAGTTCTAAATTTTTCGATAGTTTTTATTTTCGATTTTTCTGTTTTTCGATTCTTAATTTTTGATTTGCAATTGTTGTAGTTTTCATTATACATACATACAATATAATAAAAAAAAATTAAAAATTGTTCACTTTTTTAATTTTGTGATTTTAGAATTTTTCCATTTTTCGATTTTTAATTTTTCAATTTTTCGTTTTTCAATTTTTAGATTTTTTAATTTTTCGTTTCTTAATTTTTAATTTACAATTTTTCTAATTTTCATTTTAAACGTGTAATAACAATTAAAAAAAACTATTCAGGAGTTTTCAATTTTTCGATTTTTCAATTTTTGGATTCTCAATTTTTCATTTCGATATTTAATTTTTATTCTGTCAATTTTTCGGTTTTTCAATTTCGTTTTACAATTTTTTGTTTCGGCTTTTTTTCTTATTTTTACGATTTCTCGATTTATAATTTTTTGCTTTTACAATTTGATTTTTTTTTTGATTTTCAAATTTTATTTTTCAGTTTTTCGATTTTTCAAAGTGAAATTTTTAACTTTTCAATTAGCAATTTTTGTAGGTTTCATTATACATATAATAAAGAACAATAAAAATTGTTCACTTTTTTAATTTTACGATTTTAGAATTTTTCCATTTTTCAATTTTTAATTTTTCATTTCTACAAATTTTCGTTTTGTAATTCCTCGTTTGGGTTTTTCCTTCATTTTTACAATTTTTCGATTTATCAATGTACCGATTTTATAATTTTTTGTTTTTTCAATTTTATTTTTTTTTGTTTGTTCAATTTTATGACAAATTTTATCTTTCAACTTTTAGATGTTTCAATTTTTAGATTTTGGAATTTTCACGAGTTTTAATTTTTGGGTATATTTTTTTTTCAATTTTTCGGTTTGTCAATTTTTGATTTGCAATTTTTCTAGTTTTCATTATACATATATACAATATAATAAAAAAAATTAAAAATTGTTCACTTTGTCAATTTTACGATTTTAGAATTTTTCCATTTTTCGATTTTTAATTTTTCAATTTTCCGGTTTTCAATTTTTCGTTTTTCAAATTTTAGATTTTTTAATTTTTCGTTTCTTAATTTTTAATTTACAATTTTTCTAATTTTCATTTTAGATGTGTAATAACAATTAAAAAAAAATAACTACTCAGGAGTTTTCAATTTTCGATTCAATTTTTGGATTCTCAATTTTTCATTTCGATATTTAATTTTTATTTTATCAGTTTTTCGGTTTTTCAATTTCGTTTTACAATTTTTTGTTTCGGCTTTTTTCTTATTTTTACGATTTCTCGATTTATAATTTTTTGCTTTTTCGATTTGTTTTTTTTTTGTTTTTCAAATTTTATTTTTCAGTTTTTCGATTTCTCAAAGTGAAATTTTTAAATTTTTAATTAGCAATTTTTGTAGTTTTCATTATACATATAATAAAGAACAATAAAAATTGTTCACTTTTTTAATTTTACGATTTTAGAATTTTTCCATTTTTCCATTTTTAATTTTTCATTTCTACAAATTTTCGTTTTGTAATTCCTCGTTTGGGTTTTTCCTTCATTTTTACAATTTTTCGATTTATCAATGTACCGATTTTATAATTTTTTGTTTTTTCAATTTTATTTATTTTTTTTTTTGTTTGTTCAATTTAATGACAAATTTAATCTTTCAACTTTTAGATGTTTCAATTTTTAGATTTTGAAATTTTCACGACTTTTAATTTTTGGATATATTTTTTTTATCAATTTTTCGGTTTGTCAATTTTTGATTTGCAATTTTTCTAGTTTTCATTATACATATATACAATATAATAAAAAAAAATAAAAAATTGTTCACTTTGTCAATTTTACGATTTTAGAATTTTTTCATTTTTCGATTTTTAATTTTTCAATTTTCCGGTTTTCAATTTTTCGTTTTTCGACTTTTAGATTTTTTAATTTTGCGTTTCTTAATTTTTAATTTACAATTTTTCTAGTTTTCATTTTAAATGTGTAATAACAATTAAAAATAACTATTCAGGAGTTTTCAATTTTTCGATTTTTCAATTTTTGGATTCTCAATTTTTCATTTCGATATTTAATTTTTATTTTGTCAATTTTTCGGTCTTTCAATTTCGTTTTACAATTTTTTGTTTCGGCTTTTTTCTTAGTTTTACGATTTCTCGATTTATAATTTTTTGCTTTTTCAATTTGATTTTTTTTTGTTTTTCAAATTTTATTTTTCAGTTTTTCGATTTTTCAAAGTGAAATTTTTAAATTTTTAATTAGCAATTTTTGTAGTTTTCATTACACATGTAATAAAGAAAAATAAAAATTGTTCACTTTTTTAATTTTACGATTTTAGAATTTTTCCATTTTTCGATTTTCAATTTTTCAATTTTCCGGTTTTCAATTTTTCGTTTTTCGACTTTTAGATTTTTTAATTTTTCGTTTCTTAATTTTTAATTTACAATTTTTCTAGTTTTCATTTTAAATGTGTAATAACAATTAAAAAAAAAACAATTTAGGAGTTTTCATTTTTTCGATTTTTCAGTTTTTGGATTCTCGATTTTTCATTTCGATATTTAATTTTAATTTTCAGTTTTTCGGTTTTTCAATTTCGCTTTACAATTTTTTGTTTCGGCTTTTTTTCTTATTTTTACGATTTCTCGATTTATAATTTTTTGCTTTTTCAATCTGATTTTTTTTTGTTTTTCAAATTTTATTTTTCAGTTTTTCGATTTTTCAAAGTGAAATTTTTAAATTTTCAATTAGCAGTTTTTGTAGTTTTCATTATACATATAATAAAGAAAAAGAAAAATTGTTCACTTTTTTATTTTTACGATTTTAGAATTTTTCCATTTTTCGATTTTTAATTTTTCGTTTCTTAATTTTTTAATTCACAATTTCTCTAGTTTTCATTTTAAATATGTAATAACAATTAAAAAAATAACTATTCACGAGTTTTCAATTTTTCGATTTTTCAATTTTTGATTTCTTCAATTTTTGGATTCTCAATTTTCCATTTCGTTATTTAATTTTTATATTATCAATTTTTCGGTTTTTCATTTTTTGTTCCTTAATTTTTGATTTTCAATTTTTGTAGTTTTCATTTTAAATGTGTAATCACAATAACTTTAAAAATTATTCACTTTTTCACTTTTCCGATTTTTATATTTTCAATTTTTCGATTCTTCAATTTTTCATTTCTACAAATTTTCGTTTCGCAATTCCTCGTTTCGTTTTGTCCCTTTATTTTGAAATTTTTTTAATTTATCAATGTCCGGATTTATAATTTTTTGCTTTCTTAATTCGAATTTTTTGATTTTTCGATTTATAATTGTTTAATTTTAATTTTTTTTTGTTTCGCAAATTTTACGACATGCAACTAATCGAATTTTATTTTTCAGTTTTCAGATTTTTGGATTTTTAACTTTTAGATTTTTTAATTTTTCGTTTCTTAATTTTTGATTTACCGTTTTTATAGTTTTCATTTTAAATATGTAATAACAATTAAAAAAAAACTTTCAATTTTAGGATTTTAGCATTTTTCATTTTTATAAAGTTTCGTTTTGTAATTTTTCGTTTCGGTTTTTTTTCTTGTTTTTACAATTTTTGGATTTATAAATGTTCCGAATTTATAATTTTTTGTTTTTTCACTTCAAATTTTTTTGATTTTTCGCTTTGCAATTTCTCATTTTTTTTGTGTTTCTTCAATTTTAGTTTTTAGTTTTATTTTTCACTTCTTCTATTTTCCGACTTTAGGATGTTTCAATTTTTAGATTTTGCAATTTCATGAGTTTTAAATTTTTCCATAGTTTTTATTTTCCATTTCTTCAATTTTTCGTTTAGGTTTTTTATTTTCTTTACTTTTTCACTGTGAATTTTTTTAATTTTCGATTTTTCTATTCTTAATTTTTGATTTGCAATTTTTGTAGTTTTCATTGTATATACAATATAATAAAAAAAAATAAAAAATTATCCACTTTTTCAATTTTACGATTTTGGAATTTTTCCGTTTTTCAATTTTTAATTTTTCAATTTTCCGGTTTTCAGTTTTTCGTTTTTCAAACTTTAGATTTTTTAATTTTCGTTTCTTAATTTTTAATTTACAATTTTTCCAGTTTTCATTTTAAATGTGTAATAACAATTTAAAAAAAAAAACTAGTTACGAGTTTTCAATTTTTCGATTTTTCAATTTTTCATTTCTATATTTAGTTTCTATTTTTATCAATTTTTCGGTTTTTCAATTTTCGTTTTACAATATTTTGTTTCGGCTTTTTTTCTTATTTTTACGATTTCTCGATTTATAATTTTCTGCTTTTTCAATTTGATTTTTTTTTGTTTTTCAAATTTTATTTTTCAGTTTTTCTATTTTCCGACTTTAGGATGTTTCCATTTTTAGATTCCTAAGCTTTAAATTTTTCGATGGTTTTTATTTTCTTTAGTTTTTCAGTTTTTCGATTTTTCAAAGTGAAATTTTTAAATTTTTAATTAGCAATTTTTGTAGTTTTCATTATACATATAATTAAGAAAAATAAAAATTGCTCACTTTTTTATTTTTACGATTTTAGAATTTTTCCATTTTTCGATTTTTAATTTTTCATTTCTACAAATTTTCGTTTTGTAATTCCTCGTTTAGGTTTTTCCTTTATTTTTACAATTTTTCGATTTATCAATGTACCGATTTTATAATTTTTTGTTTTTTCAATTTTATTTTTTTTTGTTTGTTCAATTTTACGACAAATTTTATCTTTCAACTTTTAGATGTTTCAATTTTTAGATTTTGGAATTTTCACGAGTTTTAATTTTTGGAAATATTTTTTTTATCAATTTTTCGGTTTGTCAATTTTTGATTTGCAATTTTTCTAGTTTTCATTATACATAGGTATGTACAATATAATAAAAAAAAATAAAAAATTGTTCACTTTTTCGATTTTACGATTTTAGAATTTTTCCATTTTTCGATTTTTAATTTTTCATTTTTACAAGTTTTCGTTTTGTAATTCCTCGTTTAGGTTTTTCCTGTTTTTACAATTTTTCGATTTATCAATGTACCGATTTTATATTTTTTTATTTTTTCAATCTAATATTTTTTAATTTTTCGATTTGCGATTTTTTAATTTTTCATTTTTTTTTGTTTTTCCTATTTACGACATGCAACTCTTCGAATTCTATTTTCAGTTGTTCGATTTCCAACTTTTGGACGTTTCAATTTTTCGATTTTTCAATTTTTCATTTGTTCGTTTCAGTTTTTTATTTTCTTTACTTTTTCACTTTTTCGATATGAAATTTTTCAATTTTCCGGTTTTCAATTTTTCGATTTTTCAATTTTTAGGTTTTTAATTCTTCGTTTCTTAATTTTTAATTTACAGTTTTTCTAGTTTGCATTTTAAATATGTAATAATAATAATAATAATTAAAAAAAAAAAACTTTTTCAATTTTAGGATTTTAGAATTTTTCCATTTTTAATTTTTCAATTCTCCAATTTTTCATTTTTACACATTTTCGTTTCGGTTTTTTTTCTTATTTTTGCAATTTTTCGCTTTATAAATGTCCCGATTTTATAATTTTTTGTTTTTTCAAATTTATTTTTTTTTGTTTGTTCAATTTTACGACAAATTTTGTTTCAGTTTTTCGATTTTCCAACTTTTAGATGTTTCAATTTTTAGATTTTGGTATTTTCACGAGTTTTAATTTTTCGATATATTTTTTTTTGTTTTGTCAATTTTTGATTTGCAATTTTTCTAGTTTTCATTATAATATGTGATAATAATTAAAACAAAGTTTCACATTTTCAATTTTACGATTTTAGAATTTTCTGAGTTTTCGATTTTTCATTTTTACAAATTTTTTCAATCATACGAAGGTTTTTTATTTTCTTTAGTTTATCAATTTTTCGGTTTTTCAATATGAAATGTTTAATTTGCCGGTTTTCAATATTTCGATTTTCCGACTTTTAGATTTTTCAATTTTTCGTTTCTTCAATTTTTGATCTGCAATTTTTCTAGTCTTCATTTTAAATTTGTAATAAAATAATTATAATTTTTAAAACTTTTCCATTTTTCAATTATTTGCATTTTACAACTTTTTCATTTATTCAGATTTTCAATTTTTCAGTTTTTTATTTTTCAATTTCTCGATTCGATTCGTTTTTTCTTATTTCCTCTTTTTCAATGTTGCTATTTTTCGCTTAAAATAAATGGAAAAATTGTAGAATTGATAAATCAAAAATGAAAAAACGAAAAAGTATAAACTGAAAAGTTTGAAAAAATAAAAAATTGGAAATGAAATACACGAAAAATTGAAAAATCGAAAGATTAAAGATTGAGAAACTGAAAAATCAAAAATAAAAAGTGCTTATTTACCAGAAATTAAAAACTAGGAAAAATAGGCAAAATAACTATTATGCATTTAGTATGGATAGTCTGGTATGGATCAAATATAGTATGGATCAGAGAGTTCGATACACATTGGAGCACAAATGTCAAAATATAACCTATAAATGTTATCTCACAAAAAATGTATTAAAACATTTTGTTACTTTAATATCGAACTCTAAACCCATAAAATAAGCCACAGTTCCTCAGTTTAGCGACACCCAAAAGAACCCGAAGATGGATGTGGAGCTCCGCAACTTCTTCATTTTTAATTCTCAGTTTGGCCCCAAAGAAGGCGAAGTACGTATTTTTAGCCACCTTTCCGCTATTAAAGAGCCACTTTTAAGGAACTCAAGAAAATCCTCTACTACTATCCAATAACGGACAACGCTGACGTCCAAATAAAAAATGTGGGGCTTGTTGAAGGCATTATCCAATTCACAGGGTAAAAAATAAATTTGTACAAACACTACTACAACGGAAGTTTTAGCACCTTCAAACCGAGCACTCCCGTCAACTCCTTACATACGCAAAAAATGCGCCAGCTGTATTTTCAGCCAGAGAAGAATTTCTGGATAGTCATGGTAAGTGGAAATTATTAAAAACTCAGATTTAAAACAATTTCTAGACGTTGAATCTCCCCATTGTGGCTAAAGGCAAAGACAGCTCAAACCAAACCGAATACTTAGAGGATGACGTCCAAGACAACGTGTATGAAGCCGTGCTGAAGCAAGCCTACAACACTTACCGGTTATTTTGGGGGACTTTTGAGCACAGCATCGAGAACCACGACATCGGGACTCTGAAAACGCGGCTCGAGCATTTCTACAAAGCCGTACGTTTCAAATATTGTTTTCACTGTTTAAAAAAAACACAATTTTAGTATTTGAAAACTCTAAAATTGGCACACGCTGACATCCTCAACGTTTTCTGCGGCATTCAGTACCTTCCGCTTGATAAACTCACATTCCTGAGGGTCCAGTGCTTTATTAATTGTCTAGAATGTACGTACCCGGAAATAGAATATACAGCGTTTTTGTACAACGACCATCTGATCTGGTAGTAGTCAAAAATGAAAAATGTTTTAGTAATTGATTGTTTTTGAAGGAGCGGGCTTGAGCCTAAAGACATGAAAATTGTGTATCAGTACCTCATAGGTACTCTACTGCCTGCCAATATGGAGACGGAGCTCCAAGGAGGCTCCATGCCGCGCAACTCGCTTTCGCCCTTTGCCGCTCTACACCACGGTCGCTTTATAACCGGTCCTACGAATTTAAAAACGGCGAAAACTGTAGGGAAAATACCGAAAGTGTTTCTGTTTGCGTCTGGAAAGGGTGTGAGTTGTCACTTAGTGGTTTATAGGGCGCTGAGTGCCACCGTTTGCTTATTCATGAAAGGTGATTTTTTTTTTCAATGAAAAATAAATTTTGTCTAAACTAGTTTGCCCTTTTTAGTTGATAAGGAGTTGTCTCTGCAGTTGTTTAAAGACATGGACGAATACGTCAGCCCCAAATTGACAACCATAGTGTCTGATATTTCAGAATATTGTTCCAAACAAGTGATAACCCCGTCAAACGTCCCTGAAAATTCCCCCAGATTTATCTACTTCAACAAACTCAATTTGGCGTACAAGAGTACCGCTCATTTGGACAACAAACAGTCCGGCAACATCGCCTGTACGAAAGAAAGTTTGAAAATAATGGCCGACATGAATAACAAGCGGGGCCTTTTGGGACACTCCAGCGAAATGATCGTTAAAACCATGAACGACTACTGGGTCGTTGCGAAAAATTCCAACTCGAGAGAATTCTACGTTGCGCTCCAACAAAAAAACGCCAGTTTGATCGACATCAGCGGTAAGTAAAGGTCGATTTATAAACTTGCCGCTGACGTTGCCGCAGCGAAGGTATGCGTTACGTTGCCGTTGGGTTTTCAACCAATCAAATTGCGGTAGTGTGCAGTGCTGCCAACTTGAAGGAACAAACTTAAAACATGGTTGAAATGGTACATTTTTACAAGGAAATATAGATTTTGTTACTGTGGGGCAGATCCCAATTGCAAAATCCATATTTCCTTATACAAATTTTTCATTTTAAACATGTTTTAAGTTTCTTGTGATAAGATGTCTGCACATATTAAAACAAAAAGGCAAAGTGTCAGCCCGCCCACCCGCCCTATCTCAATTGCGACTTTTTTTATTTGCCGAGAACCAAGGGGGCTGAGCTTAACTGCAAAATACTTATTTCTTTACAAGAAATTAAAAACATATTTTTGAGTATCGTGTTAAAAAAATACCACGTATGTTAATTAATTAATTATTATTTATTTTATTGATTTAATCAGGAACTATAAAACCGAATGCTTTGAAATCTTGGAGATAACCCACCCGCCCTTATCGCAGTTGTGATGGATGAATGTTTTTTTCATTGTCAGATAGAGGGGCGGAGTTTAATTGCAAAATCCATATTAGAGAACGGGTGGGTGGGCGGGGCTAAGTTTATCTTTTTCCAAGAGAGTCTTTTATAGACAGGCAGTAGGCCCGCCCAACCACCCTCTCTTCATTCTGGTGACTACTCTTAATACTGTTAATTAAAAAGAGATAAATTGTTATTTTCCTTCTATAAATTATTCGATCTACACCTTATACCTATTTCCTATTTCACTTTTCGGATTCTCGATTTTACAGTGTTTTTGATCTTGGTTTTTCATTTTTTTTTTTTCAGTTTTTCTACGTTTCAATTTTCAGGCTTTCGATTTTTCGGTTTTAGGCTATTCGATTTCTAGATTTTTAGACTTTTAGAATTTTTGATTTCCCAATGTTTCAATTTTTCAATATTTCAGTTTTGGGATTTTTCAGTTTATCGATACTTCGGTTTTGCGATTTTTTAATTTTTCGTTTTTCCATTTTTCGGTTTTTAATCTTACCGATTTTTCAACTTTTTGATTTTTGGCGTTTCTAAATTTTCGATTTCTCGACTTGTGCATTTTTCGATTTTGTGATTTTCCCATTTCTTGATATTTCGATCTCTTGACTTCTTGATTTCTCGATTTTTCGGGTTTTCAATTTTTCAGTTTTACAATTTTTCAGGTTTTTGATTTTTCAATTCTTCGATTTTATAAATTTTCGATTTCTCAATTTTACAGTGTTTCGCAATTTTTCTTGGATTTTTTAATTTTTCGATATTTGAGTTCTGCGATTTTCCAAATTTTTAACAATTTTTCGATTTCTTGAATTTTAAATTTTTTGGTATTTCGATTTTTCATTTATTTATTTTTCAAGTTTAAATTTTTCCGACTAATGATTTCGATTTTTCGAAAACTGCTTTTTTTTTAAATATAAATTTTTCACGTTTTCGATTTTGGACTATTTCTATTTCTAGATTTTTATTTTCTTTTCGAATTTTTTGTTTCTCGATGTTTCAATTTTTCAGTATTTCAGTTTTGGGATTTTTTTCAATTTTTCGATATCTCAATTTTCAGATATATTTCACTTGTACGATTTTTCAATTTTTTTATTTTTGGTGGTTCTTAATTTTCAATTTTTTAATTACTCGATTAATCAATTTTTTCGATTTTTCAACTTTTGCTTTTTTCGATTTTTTGATTTTCCCACTTTTTGATTTTTCGACTTTTTGATATTTCAGTTTCTCGACTTCTTGATTTCTCGATTTTACGGTGTTTCAGATTTTTCTTCAGTTTTTCAATTTTTCGATATTTGACTTTCGGGATTTTCCAATTTTTCAATTCTTCAATTTAATATTCTAATTTTTCGATTTATTAGATTTTAAATTTTTGATATTTCGATTTATAGAGATCTCGAGTTTTCAAATGTTCAGTCTGTTTCGATATTTGAGTTTTGGGATTTTTCAATTTTTCTTTTGTTCAGTTTCCTGATTTTTAGATTTTCCATTTTTTCCCTTTTTTCAATTCTCAATTTTTCCATTTCCCGATTTTAGACTATTTGGATTTCCCAATTTTTCGACTTCTTGATTTCTCGATTTTTCGGTTATCGATGTTTCAGTTTTATAATTTTTCAGGTTTTTGATTTTTCAATTTTTCGAAAATTTAGGCTTCGATTCTTCGGTTTTACAGTTTTTTGCAATTTTTCTTGGGTTATCAAATTTTTCAATTCTTCAGTTTGATATTCAAATTTTTCAGTTTTAAAATTTTTCGATCTATCGAGATTTCGATTTTTCGAATGTTCCGTTTCCCCATTTTTTTTAAGTTTAAATTTTTCAAGTTTTCGGTTTTTGGCCATTTCGATTTCCAGATTTTTCGACTTCTCGGTTTCTCGATATTTAATTTTTTTAATTTTTCGATATCTCAATTTCTTGATTTTGCGATTTTTCTAATTTCTTTAGATTTTTCTATTTATGGATTTTTCAATTTTTGGGTATTTGAGTTTTGGGATTTTTCAATTTTTCGATTATTTCCCTTTTTTTTAAATTCTCAATTATTCCATTTTTCGATTTTGGAGTATTTAGATTTCCAAATTTTTGAGGTTTTTGATTTTTCAATGTTTCGAAATTTGAGTTTCAAGATTTTCCAATTTTTCAATTGTTCAATTTTGTTTTTTTTTTTGATATCTCGATTTCTCGTTTTTTTGATTTTTCAGTTCTAAAATTTTTCGATTTATCGAGATTCCGATTTTTCGAATTTCAGTTGCCCGATTTTTTAAAAATATAAATTTTTGAAGTTTTCGATTTTGGGCTATTTCGATTTCTAGATTTTCCGACTTCTCGACTTTTCGATTTCTTGTTGTTTCGATTTTTCTCTTTGAATTTTTCGACTTATCGCTTTATCAATTTTTCAATATTTCAGTTTTGGGATTTTTTTAATTTTTCAATCCTTCAATTTTTTAATAGATATTTTAATTTTTCGATTTTTCAAATTTCATATTAATTAATGAATGCGTGAATTTATTTTATTGATTTAATCAGGAACTATAAAACCGAATGCTTTGAAATCTTGGAGATAATAATTAAGCCTCACCCACCCGCCCCTATCCCAGTTGTGATGGGAATTTTTTCTTCATTATCAGATATAGGGGCGGAGTTTAATTGCAAAATCCATATTAGAGAACGGGTGGATGGGCGGGGCTAAGTTTAACTTTTTCCAAGAGAGTCTTTTATAGGCAAGCAGTAGGCCCGCCCACCCACCCCCTCTTCATTCTGGTGACTACTCTTAATACTGTTTTTTTTTTAAATTATTTTTATACTTTAATTTATCGATTTCTTAATTTTTAAATTTTTTTAATCTCGGTTTTTCATTTTTCCACGTTTTAATTTAATTTTTTTTTCTATTTATGATTTCAATTTTTCGAAAACTGGATTGTTTTTTTAAATCTAAACTTTTCAGGTTTTCGATTTTTCGGTTTTAGGCTATTCGATTTCTAGATTTTTAGACTTTTCGAATGTTTCAATATTTTAGTTTTGGGATTTTTCAGTTTTTCGATACTTCGGTTTTGCAATTTTTTATTTTTCGTTTTTCCATTTTTCGGTTTTTAATTTTACCGATTTTTCAACTTCTTAATTTTTGGCGTGTCTAAATTTTCGATTTCTCGACCTTTGCATTTTTCGATTTTCTGATTTTCCCATTTCTTGATTTTTAGACTTTGATATCGATCTCTTGACTTTTTGATTTCTCGATTTTTCAGTTTTACAATTTTTCAGGTTTTTGATTTTTCAATTCTTCGATTTTATAAATTTCGATTTCTCGATTTTACATAGTGTTTCGCAATTTTTCTTGGATTTTTCAATTTTTCGATATTTGAGTTCTGCGATTTTCCAAATTTTTAACAAGTCGTCAATTTTTTATATTTTAATTTTTCGATTTTTTAAATTTTAAATTTTTTGGTATTTCGATTTTTCATTTATTTATTTTTCAGTTTTTCTGTTTTTCAACTTTAAATTTTTCCGATTAATGATTCGATTTTTCGAAAACTGATTTTTTTTTAAATATAAATTTTTCAAGTTTTCGATTTTGGACTATTTCTATTTCTAGATATTTAGTCTTTTCGAATTTTTTGTTTCTCGATGTTTCAATTTCAGTTTTGGGATTTTTTTCAATTTTTCGATATCTCAATTTTCCGATATTTCAGTTTTACGATTTTTCAATTTTTTAATTTTTGGCGGTTCTTAACTTTCAGTTTTTTCGATTTTTCAACTTTTGCTTTTTTCGATTTTTTGATTTTCCCACTTTTTGATTTTTCGACTTTTTGATATTTCGGTTTCTCGACTTCTTGATTTCTCGATTTTACCGTGTTTCAGACTTTTCTTCAGTTTTTCAATTTTTCGATATTTGACTTTCGGGATTTTCCAATTTTTCAATTCTTCAATTTAATATTCTAATTATTCGATTTATTAGATTTTAAATTTTTGATATTTCGATTTATATAGATCTCGAGTTTTCGAATGTTCAGTCTGCCGATTTTTTTTTAATTAAATTTTTCAACTTTTCGCTTTTAACCTATTTCGATTTTTCGATAATATGAGTTTTTGGGATTTTTCAATTTTTCTTTTGGTCAGTTTGTTTACTCTTAATACTGTTAATTAAAAACAGATAAATTGTTATCTTCCTTCTATAAATTATTCGATCTACACCTTATATTTCACTTTTCGGATTCTCGATTTTACAGTGTTTTTTGATCTCGGTTTTTCATTTTTTTTTTCAGTTTTTCTACGTTTCAATTTTCAGGTTTTCGATTTTTCGGTTTTAGGCTATTCGATTTCTAGATTTTTAGACTTTTAGAATTTTTGATTTCCCAATGTTTCAATTTTTCAATATTTCTGTTTTGGGATTTTTCAGTTTATCGATACTTCGGTTTTGTGATTTTTTAATTTTTCGTTTTTCCATTTTTCGGTTTTTAATTTTACCGATTTTTCAACTTTTTGATTTTTGGCGTTTCTAAATTTTCGATTTCTCGACTTTTGCATTTTTCGATTTTCGATTTTCCCAGTTCTTGATTTTTAGACTTTGATATTTCGATCTCTGGACTTCTTGATTTCTCGATTTTTCAGGTTTTCAATTTTTCAGTTTTACAATTTTTCCGGTTTTTGATGTTTCAATTCTTCGATTTTATAAATTTCGATTTCTCGATTTTACATAGTGTTTCGCAATTTTTCTTGGATTTTTCAATTTTTCGATATTTGAAATCTGCGATTTTCCAAATTTTTAACAAGTCGTCAATTTTTATATTTTAATTTTTCGATTTCTTAAATTTTAAATTTTTTGGTATTTCTAGTTTTCATTTATTTATTTTTCGGTTTTTCTATTTTTCAACTTTAAATTTTTCCGATTTTTCGAAAACTGATTTTTTTTAAATATCAATTTTTCAAGTTTTCGATTTTTAGTCTTTTCGAATTTTTTGTTTCTCGATGTTTCAATTTTTCAATAACTTTCCGACATTTCAGTTTTACGATTTTTCAATTTTTTTTTTTATTTTTGGCGGTTCTTAATTTTCAATTTTTTAATTACTCGATTCATCAATTTTTTCGATTTTTCAACTTTTGCTTTTTTCGATTTTTTGATTTTCCCACTTTTTGATTTTTCGACTTTTTGATATTTCGGTTTCTCGATTTCTTGATTTCTCGATTTTACGGTGTTTAAGATTTTTCTTCAGTTTTTCAATTTTTCGATATTTGACTTTCGGGATTTTCCAATTTTTCAATTCTTCAATTTAATATTCTAATTTTTCGATTTATTAGATTTTAAATTTTTGATATTTCGATTTATAGAGATCTCGAGTTTTCGAATGTTCAGTCTGTTTCGATTTTTCATCTTTCAATTTTTCGATATTTGAGTTTTGGGATTTTTCAATTTTTCTTTTGTTCAGGTTCCCGATTTTTAGATTTTCCATTTTTTCCCTTTTTTTCAATTCGCAATTTTTCTATTTCCCGATTTTAGACTATTTGGATTTCCCAATTTTTCGACTTTTTGATTTCTCGATTTTTCGGTTTTCGATGTTTCAGTTTTTTGATTTTTCAATTTTTCGAAAATTTAGGCCCCGCTTCCTCGGTTTTACAGTTTTTCGCAATTTTTCTTGAATTTTCAAATTTTTCAATTCTTCAATTTGATATTCAAATTTTTCAGTTTTAATATTTTTCGATTTATCGAGATTTCTATTCTTCCAATGTTCCGTTTGCCTGTTTTTTAAATTTTAATTTTTCAAGTTTTCGATTTTGACCTATTTCGATTTTTGGACTTCTCGACTTTCAATTTCCCGATATTTCAATTTTGTAATTTTTCGATGTCTTGGTTTTTCGAATTTTCGATTTTTCAACTTTTAGACTTTTCGATTTTTATATTTTTTGATTTTTCAGTTTTTCAATTTTTCGTTTGTTGAGCTTCCCGATTTTTAGATTTTCCATTTTTCCCCGTTTTTTTAGTTCTCAATTTCGATTTTGGACTCTTTGGATTTTCCAATTTTTCGACTTCTTGATTTCTCGATTTTTCAATTTTCCGATTTCTCAGTTTTACAGTTTTTCGCAATTTTTCTTTGGTTTTCAAATTTTTCAATTCTTCAATTTGATGTTAAAATTTTTCAGTTTTAAAATTTTTCGATTTATCGAGATCTCTATTTTTCCAATGTTCCGTTTGCCTGTTTTTTTAAATTTAAATTTTTCAAGTTTTCGGTTTTTGGCCATTTCGATTTCCCTATTTTTTGACTTCTCGACTTTTCGGTTTCTCGATATTTAAATTTTTTAATTTTTCGATATCTCCATTTCTTGATTTTTCGATTTTTCTAATTTTCAACTTTTTGAGTTTTCGATTTTTATATTTTTCGATCTTCCAATTTTTTGATGTTTAGATTTTTCAATCTTTAGATTTTTCTATTTATGGATTTTTCAATTTTTGGGTATTTAAGTTTTGGGATTTTTCAATTTTTCGATTGTTTCCATTTTTTTCAATTCTCAATTTTTCCATTATTCGATTTTGGACTATTTGGATTTCCAAATTTTTCAGGTTTTTGGTTTTTCAATTTTTCGAAAATTTAGACTTCAATTCCCCGATTTTTCAGTTTTTCACAATTTTTCTTCGGTTTTTTAATGTTTCGAAATTTAAGTTTCAGGTTTTTCCAATTTTTCAATTCTTCAATTTTGTTTTTTTTTGATATCTCGATTTCTCGTTTTTCTGATTTTTCAGCTCCAACATTTTGAATGCTTTGAAATCTTGGAGATAATAATTAAGCCCCACCCACCCGCCCCTCTCTCGATTTTGATGAATTTTTTATTCGTTGTCAGAAAGAGGGGCGGAGTTTAATTGCAAAATCCATATTATGACAACTCTTAGTATTGTTTAGTCTTATAGTAGCAAGTACTAGCCCCACCCACCCACCCTCTATTTTCTTAGAGTGTATGTCATTTGCCAAAATCAGTTTTATCTTAACAGGTACTAGCCCCGCCCACCCACCCTCACTTTTTTTGGAGAATGTCATTTGCCAAAATCAGTTTTATCTTAGCAGGTAATAGCCCCACCCGCCCGCCCTCTCTTTTCTTAGAGGGTATACCATTTGCCAGAATCGGCCTTAGGTAGTTTTTGATATTTTGTAGATATTCGTCGATTTTTTGACTTTTCAGATTTTCGACTTTCCAATTTCTCAATTTTCCGATTTTTCGAGTTGTCGATTTTTAGATTTCCATTTCTTGATTTTTTTATTATTCGATACCTCAATTTTCCGAGTTTTCGAATTTTCCAATTGTCGATTTTTCGACTTTACCATTTTTTCACAATTTTCAAAATTTGGATTTCTCGAATTTTCGAATATTCAATATTTCTATTTATATTTTTGAATTATTCGGCTTTTTAATTTCTGAATTTTTCAACTTCAATTTTCGATTCCCGAACCGAGTTTTCGACTTTTCGATGTTTGGATTTATTGACTTTCGTTTATCTATTTTTCTAGATATTTCAATTTCTTGGTTTTTATTCGACGTCTCGATTTTCCGAGTTTTCGAATTTTCAATTTCTCGAATTTTCGATTCGAAGTTCCGATTTCGCTAATTCTTGATTTTTCGACTTTACCATTTTTTGATTCTTCGTTTCAGTTTTGGTGTTCAATTTAAATTTTTCAATTTCTCGATCTTTCGACTTTTCGAAGTTTTAATTTTGAATTGAATTGAAATCCAAAAATATAAAAAATCGAAAACCCTGAAAGTCTAAAAATCGAAACATTATAACTTCGAGAAATCGAAATAGCCCAAAATCGAAAAATTAAAAACTGAAAAATTGCAAAATTTAATTAAAAAAAAAACGGTAAAACGAGAAATCGAAAAATTTAAAAACTGAAAAATTGAAAAATCGAAAAATGCAAAATGTAAAAAATCGAAACATCAAAAATTCCAAAAATCTGGAATTAAAAAAGCGAAAAATTAAAATATCGAACAATCGAAAAATCCAGAAATGGAAAAATTCCCAAATATGGAAAAATTGAGAAATCTAAAACTCGTAAAATTAAAAAAATCGAAAACTGAAGAATAAAAAAAAAAACGGATAAACGAGAAATCGCAAAATTTAAAAATCAAATATTGAGAAATTCTACTGTTTTGTTTTAAGGTTAACTTTTACCCATATTTGTGTTTATTGTTAATCTTCTTGTCCTGGGTCTTTTTGTTTCAAATACCATTTAATTGTATCATAAGGAGTATCCCGTTGAACAAATAAATTAAATAAATAAATAAATTCGTTAAATTGAAAAATTAGAAAATTGAATTGTCGAAAAAATGTAAAAATCGAAAAATCGGAACATTAGAAATTCAAAAATTTCAATTTACAAAAAAAGAACGATAAATGGAGAAATCGAAAAAAACTGCGATTTTTGATATCGCTTTTTCGACTCTCCGGTTTTTCGACTGTTCGATTTTTCAAATTTCTTGATTTTTCGACTTTCGCCAATTTTCAATTTTTCGACTTTACCATTTTTTGATTTTTCATTTCAATTTTGATGTTCAATTTAAAATTTTCAATTTCTCGATTTTTGGTGGTTTCTATTTTCGATTTTACAATATCAAATATTTCAATTTCTCGATTTTTCGAAGTTTGAATTTTGAATTATAATTCAAAAGTATAAAAATCAAAAACCCTAGAAGTCGAAAAATCGAAAAATTAAAAACTGATAAACTGCAAAATCTAAATGTAAAATGTAAAAAATCCAAAAATCCGAAATAAAAAAAAAGCAAAAAATTAAAATATCGAACAATCGAAAAATTCAGAAATGGAAAAATTCCCGAAGTTGAAATGTTGAAAAATTGAGAAATCCGAGGGTCCAAATAACCTTTTATAAACAAGCAGTAGGCCCGCCCACCCGCCCTCTCTTTTCTTAAGGGGTATTAGTCTTAGCAAGTACTATAATTTATCATTGCATTGCTATTTTTTAGATTTGCTTATACAGGGTGTCCCAAAAATAATAATCACTGCGTCAATTTATTTTCTGGATTAAATAAAGAATTGCAAAACTGAATATTTTGAAATCTTGCAGACGTTTTAAAGCTATTGTAAGCATGGAAAGTTAAGTTAAGCTCCGCCCCCTTGGCTCACAACGAATAAAAAAAATGGTCACAATTGAGATAGGGTGGGTGGGCGGGCTTACATTTTGCCTTTTCTTCTTAGTATGTATAGACCCATTTCGACAATAAGAAACTTCTTCGCAACGGAGTTTATAAACGACAACGTGACCTTCAACGTCAACAGCAAGTTTATAAATCCCCCTTTAGTATTCAAGTTTCCCCAACTCTAATTTATTATTTTTTTTTTTTTTTAGAGGAAGTAAAAAAATTGTGCGACACCGAACTAAAAGGAATCTTTTTCCACCCGCTGTAACAACAGGTAAACGCTTCATTACAAAACTCTTTATTAAGTAAATGTATACATCTCTAGTACAAAATAAAAAATAACTTAAACCTAACCTAGAAAAATCACATTGCATCTAATACGTCACGCTTAATATCTCCACTGTTCAATTCTTGGGGAAAAAAGTGAGCTCTGTGTGCGTCTGCGCAAACAAGACGTTCAACTGAGAGTCGAGACCCACATTTTCGACCCTTATCACGTGAGCTTCGTTCCTATTGGGTTCTTTGCGGATGACGGCCAATCCGTAGACTCGCATCAGGCGCTCGTCGCTACCGTCGCAGCAGCCACCCGGGATTTCGATGTTGACGTGACACATGAGGTCGATGTGCACGTATTTTTCGATGGCGTATTTACCGGACGCGGTCATAACCTGTATTGAACAAACGATTAACTAAAGTGGCGCAGTCGTTAGTAGTTTGTACGTACTTTTTCCATTTTTTCCTCGATTTGGGGCTTGTCAGCTCTGAACACCGACGCCTCTCCTCGAGTTTGGTCGCCTGATTTGATCACGAACTTCATGTTTTGGTGGACGGCTTTGATTTCGAGACCGAGGCCGTCTGGGTGGTTGTCGGACCAGAGGTAGTTGTCTGGGTGGACTAGAGAGTCAGGTTGGAAGGTCAGGCGCTTCGCGTAGCCCATTCCGATGCTGAGGAGCTTGAGGGCTCTGCCCCCGAATAGGTGGTCTTTGCGGTCGTTTGGTCGCACTTTGTAGTGGAACCCGGGGATGACTCTAGGGTCCACGTATGTACCTAGACGATGAAATTTGATTAATATAATTACAAAAAAAAAGTGTTTAGGTTGATTTTACTTATTTTTTTTTAATCTCGGTTTTTAATTTTTTTTTCAGTTTTTCTACGTTTTTAATTAATTTGTTTTCTATTTCTGATTTCAATTTTTGGAAAACTGGATTGTTTTTTTAAATCGAAAGTTTTCAGGTTCTCGATTTTTCGGTTTTAGGCTATTTGATTTCTAGATTTTTAGACTTTTCGAATTTTTGATTTCCCAATGCTTCAATTTTTCAATATTTTAGTTTTGCGATTTTTAATTTTTCGTTTTTCCATTTTTCGGTTGTAATTTTACCGATTTTTCGACTTTTTATTTTTTGGCGTTTCTAAATTTTCGATTTCTCGACTTTTGCATTTTTCGATTTTCGATTTTCTCAGTTCTTGATTTTTAGACTTTGATATTTCGATCTCTTGACTTCTTGATTTCTCGATTTTTCAGGTTTTCAATTTTTCAGTTTTACAATTTTTCCGGTTTTTGATGTTTCAATTCTTCGATTTTTATAAATTTCGATTTCGTGATTTTACATAGTGTTTCGCAATTTTTCTTGGATTTTTAAATTTTTCGATATTTGAGATCTGCGACTTTCCAAATTTTTAACAAGTCGTCAATTTTTATATTTTAATTTTTCGATTTCTTAAATTTTAAATTTTTTGGTATTTCTAGTTTTCATTTATTTATTTTTCGGTTTTTCTATTTTTCAACTTTAAATTTTTCCGATTTTTCGAAAACTGATTTTTTTTTAAATATCAATTTTTCAAGTTTTCGATTTTTAGTCTTTTCGAATTTTTTGTTTCTCGATGTTTCAATTTTTCAATAACTTTCCGACATTTCAGTTTTACGATTTTTCAATTTTTTTTTATTTTTGGCGGTTCTTAATTTTCAATTTTTTAATTACTCGATTCATCAATTTTTTCGATTTTTCAACTTTTGCTTTTTTCGATTTTTTGATTTTCCCACTTTTTGATTTTTCGACTTTTTGATATTTCGGTTTCTCGATTTCTTGATTTCTCGATTTTACGGTGTTTCAGATTTTTCTTCAGTTTTTCAATTTTTTGATATTTGACTTTCGGGATTTTCCAATTTTTCAATTCTTCAATTTTTTCATTTCCCGATTTTAGACTATTTGGATTTCCAAATTTTTCGACTTCTTGATTTCTCGATTTTTCGGTTTTCGATGTTTCAGTTTTATAATTTTTCAGGTTTTTGATTTTTCAATTTTTCGAAAATTTAGGCTTCGATTCCTCGGTTTTACAGTTTTTCGCAATTTTTCCTGGGTTTTCAAATTTTTCAATTCTTCTATTTGATATTCAAATTTTTCAGTTTTAAAATTTTTCGATTTATCGAGATCTCTATTTTTCCAATGTTCCGTTTGCCTGTTTTTTGAATTAAAATTTTTCAAGTTTTCGATTTTGACCTATTTCGATTTTTCGACTTCTCGACTTTTCGATTTCCCGATGTTTCAATTTTATAATTTTTCGAAATCTTGGTTTTTCGAATTTTCGATTTTTCAACTTTTAGACTTTCGATTTTTATATTTTTTGACTTTTCAGTTTTTCAATTTTTCGTTTGTTCAGTTTCCCGATTTTTAGATTTTCCATTTTTTTCCTTTTTTTTAGTTCTCAATTTCGATTTTTCGATTTTGGACTATTTGGATTTCCCAATTTTTCGACTTCTTGATTTCTCGATTTTTCAATTTTTCGAAAATTTAGATTTTTCGATTTCTCAGTTTTACAGTTTTTCGCAATTTTTCTTTGGTTTTTCAATTTTTCAATTCTTCTATTTGATATTCAAATTTTTCAGTTTTAAAATTTTTGGATTTTTAGCGAGAACTTTTGCCTCTTTTTTTAAATTTAAATTTTTCAAGTTTTCGGTTTTTGGCCATTTCGATTTCCCGATTTTTCGATATCTCCATTTCTTGATTTTTCGATTTTTCTAATTTTCAACTTTTTGAGTTTTCGATTTTTATATTTTTGGATCTTCCAATTTTTTGATGTTTAGATTTTTCTATTTATGGATTTTTCAATTTTTGGGTATTTGAGTTTTGGGATTTTTCAATTTTTCGACTGTTTCCCTTTTTTTTTAATTCTCAATTTTTCCATTTTTCGATTTTGGACTATTTGGATTTCGTAATTTTTCAGGTTTTTGATTTGACAATTTTTCGAAAATTTAGACTTCAATTTCCCGATTTTTCAGTTTTTCACAATTTTTCTTGGGTTTTTCAATGTTTCGAAATTTGAGTTTCAGGATTTTCCAATTTTTTAATTCTTCAGTTTTGTTTTTTTTTTGATATCTCGATTTCTCGTTTTTTTGATTTTTCAGTTCTAAAATTTTTCGATTTATCGAGATTTCGATTTTTCGAATTTTAGTTGACCGATTTTTTTAAAATGTAAATTTTTGAAGTTTTCGATTTAGGGCTATTTCGATTTCTAGATTTTTCGACTTCTCGACTTTTCGATTTTTCTCTTTGAATTTTTCGATTTATCGCTTTATCAATTTTTCAATATTTGAGTTTTGGGATTTTTTAATTTTTCGATCCTTCAATTTTTTAATAGATATTTTAGTTTTTCGATTTTTCAAATTTCAGATTAATTAATGAATGCGTGAATTTATTTTATTGATTTAGTCAGGAACTATAAAACCGAATGCTTTGAAATCTTGGAGATAATAATTAAGCCCCACCCACCCGCCCCTCTCTCGATTTTGATGAATTTTTTATTCGTTGTCAGAAAGAGGGGCGGAGTTTAATTGCAAAATCCATATTAGAGAACGGGTGGGTGGGCGGGGCTAAGTTTAACTTTTTCCTAGAGTCTTTTATAAACAAGCAGTAGGTCCATCCATCCACCCCCTCTTCATTCTAATGACAACTCTTAGTATTGTTTAGTCTTATAGTAGCAAGTACTAGCCCCACCCACCCGCCCACTGTTTTCTTAGAGAGTTAGTCATTTGCTAAAGTCAGTCTTATCTAAGCAAGTACTAGCCCCGCCCACCCACCCTCACTTTTTTTGGAGAATATGTCATTTGTCAAAATCAGTCTTAACAGGTACTAGCCCCGCCCACCCGCCCTCTCTTTTCTTAGAGGATGTGCATTTTTTTTCTTCGATTTTTTGACTTTTCAGATTTTCGACTTTCCAATTTCTCAGTTTTCAATTTTTCGAGTTGTCGATTTTTATATTTCCATTTTTTGATTTTTTTATTATTCGATACCTCAATTTTCCGAGTTTTCGAATTTTCCAATTGTTCGACTTTACCATTTTTTGATTTTTTGTTTCAATTCTTGGTGTTTTCGATTTTTCAATTTCTTTTTCGGCTTTTCGATATCCCGATTTTCGACATTTCAAGTTTTCGATATTTCGGTTTTTCAGTGCTCGATTGATTTATTTTTTTCAATTTTGTTATCGCTGCCGCCACGTGGCCGCCACTGGACCGGCCCCCGTGATGCTGGCGCCGCTGGCGTGGACCGGCGCAGAGAGAAGAGGAACAGCTGAGCGGAACGACGTAGAAAAAATATGGCGTACCAGTGGTGCCTTGTATAACTTTTGTAATTCGGACACTTTTCTTTGAAATATATTATAATTTCTAGATTTAGGACTTCGATTTTTCAGTTTCTCGATTTTTGGTGTTTTCTAGTTTCGATTTCACAATTTTCAAATATTTGAATTTCTCGATTTTTCGAATATTCAATATTTCTATTTATATTTTTGAATTATTCGGCTTTTCAATTTCTGGATTTTTCAACTTCAATTTCTCGATTCCCCAATTTTTCCCATTCGATTTTTCGTTATTTCAATCTTCGAATATCGAATTCTCGACTCAAATTTTGCAATTTCTCGAGTTTTCGAATTTTCGATGTTTGGATTTATTGACTTTTCGGCTTTTCAATTTCTCGTTTATCTATTTTTCTAGATATTTCAATTTCTTGATTTTTATTCGACGTCTCGATTTTCCGAGTTTTCGAATTTTCAATTTCTCGAATTTTCGGTTCGAAGTTCCGATCCGCCAATTCAATTTTCGACTTTACCATTTTTTGATTCTTCGTTTAAATTTTGGTGTTCAATTTAAATTTTTCAATTTCTCGATCTTTCGACTTTTCGAAGTTTTAATTTTGAATTGAATTGAAATCCAAAAATATAAATAATCGAAAACCCTGAAAGTCGAAAAATCGAAACATTAAAACTTCGAGAAATCGAAATAGCCCAAAATCGAAAAATTAAAAACTGAAAAATTGCTAAATTTAATTAAAAAAAAAAACGGTAAAACGAGAAATCGAAAAATTTAAAAACTGAAAAATTGGAAAATCGAAAATCGCAAAATGTAAAAAATCGAAACATCAAAAATTCCAAAAATCTGAAATTCAAAAAGCGAAAAATTAAAATATCGAACAATCGAAAATCCAGAAATGGAAAAATTCCCAAATGTGGAAAAATTGAGAAATCTGAAAGTCCAAAAAATTTTAAAATCGAATAACCGAGTGTCGAGAAATGGGAAGTTCGAAAAATGGAAAAATTAAAAAAATCGAAAAGTGAAGGATAAAAAAGAACGGATAAACGAGAAATCGCAAAATTTTAAAAATCCAAATATTTTGAAATTCTGTTTTTTTAAGGTTAACTTTTATCTATTTTTGTGTTTATTGTTGCGATTTTTGCTATCGCTTTTTCGACTGTTGGATTTTTCAAATTTCTTGATCTTTCGACTTTTCGATATCTCGATTTTCTGAGTTTTTAAATTTCTCGATTATTCGATTTCGCCAATTTTCAATTTTTCGACTTTACCATTTTTTGATTTTTCGTTTCAATTTTGGTGTTCAATTTAAAATTTTCAATTTCTCGATTTTTGGTGTTTTTTATTTTCGATTTTACAATATCAAATATTTCAATTTCTCGATTTTTCGAAGTTTGATTTTTGAATTAAATTTCAAAAGTATAAAAATCAAAAACCCTAGAAGTCGAAAAATCGAAAAATTAAAAACTGAAAAATTCCAAAATCTAAATGTAAAATGTAAAAAATCCAAAAATCTGAAATAAAAAAAAGCGAAAAATTAAAATATCGAACAATCGAAAAATTCAGAAATGGAAAAATTCCCGAAATTGAAATGTTGAAAAACTGAGAATTCCAAAGGTCCAAAAATTTTTAAAATCGAATAAACAAGCAGTAGGCCCGCCCACCCACCCCCTCTTCATTCTAGTGACAACTCTTAGTATCGTTTAGTCTTATAGTAGCAAGTACCAGCCCCGCCCACCCACTATTTTTTAGATTTGCTTATACAGGGTGTCTCAAAAAATTTAATCACAGAGTCAGTTTGTTTTCTGGATTAAATCAAGAATTGCAAAACTGAATATTTTGAAATCTTGCAGACGTTTTAAAGCTATTGTAAGCATGGTAAATTGTTAATCAAAATATATCTATTTATTTTGCCGAATAAATTCTACCCAAAATTTTTCGTAGAGAAATAAGGATTTTGCAGTTAAGCTCCGCCCCCTTGGCTCACGACGAATAAAAAAAATCATCACAATTGAGACAGGGCGGGTGGGCGGGCTTACATTTTGTCTTTTCTTCTTAGTACGTGTAGACCCATTTCGACAACAAGAAACTTCTTGGCAACGGAGTTTGTAAATGACAACAACGTGACCTTCAACGTCAACAGCAAGTTTATAAATCCCACTTTTAGTATTCAAGTTTCCCCAACTCTATTTTAATTTTTTTAGAGGAAATAAAAAAATTGTGCGACACCGAACTAAAAGGAATCTTTTTCCACCCACTGTAACAACAGGTAAACGCTTCATTACAAAACTCTTTATTAAGTAAATGTATACATCTCTAGTACAAAATAAAAAATAACTTAAACCTAACCTAGAAAAATCACATTGCATCTAATACGTCACGCTTAATATCTCCACTGTTCAATTCTTGGGGAAAAAAGTGAGCTCTGTGTGCGTCTGCGCAAACAAGACGTTCAACTGGGAGTCGAGACCCACATTTTCGACCCTTATCACGTGAGCTTCGTTCCTATTGGGTTCTTTGCGGATGACGGCCAATCCGTAGACTCGCATCAGGCGCTCGTCGCTACCGTCGCAGCAGCCACCCGGGATTTCGATGTTGACGTGACACATGAGGTCGATGTGCACGTATTTTTCGATGGCGTATTTACCGGACGCGGTCATAACCTGTATTGAACAAACGATGAACTAAAGTGGCGCAGTCGTTAGTAGTTTGTACGTACTTTTTCCATTTTTTCCTCGATTTGGGGCTTGTCAGCTCTGAACACCGACGCCTCTCCTAGAGTTTGGTCGCCTGATTTGATCACGAACTTCATGTTTTGGTGGACGGCTTTGATTTCGAGACCGAGGCCGTCTGGGTGGTTGTCGGACCAGAGGTAGTTGTCTGGGTGGACTAGAGAGTCGGGTTGGAAGGTCAGGCGCTTCGCGTAGCCCATTCCGATGCTGATTAGCTTGAGGGCTCTGCCCCCGAATAGGTGGTCTTTGCGGTCGTTTGGTCGCACTTTGTAGTGGAACCCGGGGATGACTCTTGGGTCCACGTATGTACCTAGACGATGAAATTTGATTAATATAATTACAAAAAAAAAGTGTTTGGGTCGATTTTACTTACCTACAACTGGTAGTTCGTAGTGCTCCAACCCGTGCATCGAGTACTGCGTCGGCACGTCATTAATATCCGTCCCTTTAACGGTCACCCTTCTGTGTACTTTCTGTATACCCGGCAGCAGCGTGTACCTGTGCCTCTGTATCACCACGTTCAACACCTTAACAATCTCAGCTGCTGCCTTCCCCTTATACTTAGTGGCCAGAACGACTCCACTCAGCGGCATCGGCTTCGCCACCCCCGTCTCGTAAAACTCTACCTTACCCGTAAGCCTAACATTGGCTCTCTTTTCAATATTTAGTTTGCTGCAAATATTACTAATTTCATACTGAGGTCCCTGAAAGAGTGAGCATCATAAGTAAACGTCCCCGTACAGTTCATTCGTTCGATCAAAGACTTACGCCCAGTTGCTAGTGACAAGGTATGACATGGCTCCGGTGTCTTGCTGGATGTGACGTCTAACAAAATATCGAATATGGCGCAACAAAAAGAAAATCAAAAAGAACAGAAGGTGGTGATATTTACCTCGACTTGCAGCACTTCCACGGTGCCTTGGGGCTCCCGGTTGGCGTCGAAGATGGTGAATTTGTCCCCTTGGGAGATGAGTTCGAGCTCGAAGGCGTACCCTTCTGGCCGGTTGTCGCTCCAGAAGTAGTTCTTGTTGTTGTTGAGGCTGGTGGTGGCTTCGAAGGTGAAGCGGCGGGCGTAGCCGCGACCGATCGATTTGAGCACGAGGGCAGAGTCGTTGAAGAGACACTTGTGGGTGGTGGAGGGCTGGCCGATGGCCGGGAGGGGGCGCACGCGGTATTTGAAACCGGGGATTACGCGGGGGTCGACGTAGACGCCGATTACGGGCATCTGGTGGGGCGAGAGGGGGCAGACGGTGTAGACGGCGGGGAAGTCGCCGATTTTTGAGGCGTCGAGGGTGACGGAGGAGGGTTGAGGGGTGGATGGGTCGGTGGGTTCGGGGACGACTTGGTCCTAGAAGGAACAACAATTTTATTAGTATGCAATTTAAAGAACGGATTGTATTTGCATTTTTTCAACCCACATTTAATATTTCCGGTACTATAAACAAGATTTATTTTTCCATTTCTAGATTTAGAACTAGGAATTTTTCGATTTTTCGACTTTTCAATATTTCGATTTTTGAATTGTTCGACTTTTCGATTTTTGGATTTTTCAGCTTTGATATTCCAATTTTTATCATTCGATTTTAGCTTTTCGATTTTCCCATTTTTCGAGTTATCGATTTTTCAAGATATTTCAATTTTTTATTTTTAAACATCTCGATTGTCCGAGTTTTCGAATTCTCAATTTCAAACCGATAAATTGCAAAATTTAATAAAAAAAAAAAAAAAATACGATAAAACGGGAAAAATTAAAAAAAAAAGGAAACAAGAAATCGATAAATCTAAATTTAAAAAATAAAAAAATCGAAGAATTGAGAAACTTAAAAATTCCAAAATTGAAATGGCGAAAAATTAGGAAATTTAGAAACTGAAAAAAAAAACTCGATATATCCAAGAATTGTAAAATAGAAAAATATGAAAATTGAAAGACTCAGAAGTCGAAAATTAAAATCGAAAAAAAAATCGAGATAACGAGAAATCGAAGAGCCCAAAATAGAAAAATCGGAAAATTACAAACTGAGAAATTGAAAATTTTTAAAATACAAAAAAATCGTTTAAAAAAACGAAAAATTGTAAAATCCAAAAATTGAAAAATTAAAAGATCGAAAAATCGAGAAGTCGAAAAATCTAAAAACTGAAAAATCAAAAAACAGAGAAATCCAAAAACCTAAAATTTAAAATCTTAAAAATAAAAAAATTGAAAAATTGAGAAATCAAAAAATTGAAAAATCGAAACATCTAAAAATTCGGAAGTCCAACAGTATAAAAATCGAAAAATTACGAACTGAAACATTGAAAATTTAATTAAAAAAACAAACGATAAAAGGAGAAATCGAAAAATTTAAAAACTAAAAAAATTGGAAAATCGAAAAAATCAAAAAATTGAGAAATTCTATTTTGTTTTTTTTTTTTTAAGTTAACTTTTACTTATTTTTGTGTTTATTGTTAATTTTCATCTCCTGGGTCTTTCTGTTTCAAATACCATTTAATTATATCTTAAGGGGTATCCCATGGAACAAATAAATTAAATAAATACATTCCTAAATTGAAAAATCAGAAAATTGAAATGTCGAAAAAATTAAAAATTGAAAAATTGAAACATGGAGGAATTGTAAAATCGAAAAATAGAAAAATCGAAACTCTCAAAAGTCGAAAACTAAAATCGGAAAAGCCTAAAATCGGAAAATCTGAGACATTGAAAATTTCAATTTACAAAAAAAAAAGATAAATGGAGAAATCGAAATAAACTTTTTAATCCATAGAGTTTTGGATATTTTCTCCAAATTTTCATTTCTCGATTTTCTGAGTTTTAAAATTTTTTATTTCTCGATTCAAATTTTTGACATTTCAGTTTTTCGATTTTCCAATTTCTCAATTTTTCCAATATTCGTTTTTTTTATTTTTAGATTATTCGATATCTCCATTTTCCGACTTTTCGAATTTTTGATTCGAAGTCCTGACTTCCTGTTCTCGATTTTTCGACTTTACCATTTTTTGATTTTTCCTTTCAATTTTTGGTGTTTTCGATACATGAATTTTTGACATTTCAACTTTTCGTTATTTCGGTTTTTTCAGTTCTCAATTTTTTTATTTTTCCATTTCTTTGTTTAGGACTTCGATTTTTCAATTTCTCGATTTTTGGTACTTTCTATACATATTCGATTTCACAATTTTCAAATATTTGAATTTCTCGATATTTCGAATACTTATTCAATATTTCTATTTATATTTTTGAATTATTCGGATTTTTCAACTTCAATTTCTCGATTCCCCAATTTTTCCCATTCGATTATTTACGACTTTTTACGAATTTTGATTTCTCGATTTTTGGACTTTTTGATAATTCGATTTTTCGTTATTTCAATTTTCGAATATCGAAATTTCGACTCAAATTTTGCATTTTTTCGATTTTTCGACTTTTCGATGTTTGGATTTATTGACTTTTCGGCTTTTCAATTTCTCGTTTTTCGAGTTATTATTTTTCTAGATATTTCAGTTTCTTGATTTTTATTCGACATCTCGATTTTTCAATTTCTCGATTTTTCAACTTTTCGAAATTTGAATTTTGAATTGAAATCCAAAAATATCAAAAATCGAAAACCTTAAAAGTCGAAAAATTGAAAAATTAAAACTTCGAGAAATCGAAATAGCCCAAAATTGAAAAATTGCAAAATTCAATTTAAAAAATCGATAAAACCAGAAATCAAAAAATTTTAAAACTGAAAAACTGGAAAATCGAAAAATGTTAAAAATTAAAATATCGAACGACTGAAAAATTCAGAAGGAAAAATTCCCAAAGTTGAAATGTTAAAAAATTGAGAAATCGAAAGTTCGAAAAATCGTAAAGTCGAAACATTTAAAAATAGGAAAATGTTAAAAATCCAAAACTGAAGAATGAAAAAACCGAGGAAACGAGAACTCGCAAAATATAAAATTTACAAAAATCAAAAAATGAAAAATCGAGAAATTGAAAAATCCCAAAACTGGAATGTCGAAAAATTGGGAAATTCAAAAACTGAAAAATCGAAACATCGAAGAATTGTAAAATCGAAAAGCCCAAAATCGGAAAATTAGAAATTGAAAAATTTACAAAAAAAAATCGATAAATGGAGAAATCGAAAAATTTTAAAACTGAACAATTAGAAAATGGAAGATGTTAAATTAAAAATTACGAAAAATTGAAAAAACCGAGAAGTCGAATTAGCCCAAAATTGATAAATTAAAAATTAAAAAATCCCAAAACTGAAATGTCGAAAAATTGGAAAATTTAAAAATTGAAAAATTCAAAGTCGAAAATTACAATTAAAAAAAATTGAGATAACGAGAAACTGAAGGGCCCAAAATAGAAAAATTTAAAAACTGAAAAATAGAAGAATTAAACTTAAAAAAAACGAAAAATTGCACAATGCAAAAACTGAAAAATCAAAATTTTAAATTAAAAAATCAAACAATTGAAAAATCGAAAGATCGAAAAATTGGAAAATCGAAAAACCGAGAAGTCGAAAAATCTAAAAACTGAAAAATCAAAAAACGAGAAATCGAAAAATTCAGAAATCAAGAAATTGTAAAACCCCAAAACTGAGATGTTGAAAAATCGGGAAATCAAAAAACCGAAAAATCGGCACATCTAAAAACTCGGAAATCCAAAAATATAAAAATCGAAAACCCTAAAAGTCGAAAAATCGAAAAATTAAATATTGAAAAATTGCAAAATTTAATTAAAAAACACACTATAAAAGGAGAAATTAAAAAATCTAAAAACTAAAAAATTGGAAAATCGAAAAATGTATAAAAATTGAAAAATACAAAAATGGAAAAATGTCTAAAGTTGAAATGTTTTTCGATTTTTTGACTTTTCAGCTTTTCGATTCCCCCATTTTTCGAGTTATTAAGTTTGAATATTAAATTGAATTGAAATACAAAAATGTAAAAATCGAAAACCCTAAAAGTCGAAAAATCGAAAAATTAAAACTTCGAGAAATCGGAATAGCCCAAAATCGAAAAATAAAAACCGAAAAATTGCAAATTTAATTAAAAAAAAAATCGAGAAGTCGAAAAATCTAAAAAATCAAAAAACAAAGAAATCCAAAAACCTAAAATTTAAAATGTTAAAAATAAAAAAATCGAAAAATTGTAAAACCCCAAAACTGAAATTTCGAAAAATTAGGTAATCAAAAAATTGAAAAATCGAAACATCTAAAAATTCGGAAATCCAACAGTATAAAAATTGAAAATTTAATTAAAAAAACAAACGATAAAAGAAGAAATCGAAAAATCCAGAAATGGAAAAATGCCCAAAGTTGAGATGTTGAAAAACTGAGGCATCTAAAAGTCCAAATAATTTTAAAATCGAATAACTGAGTGTCGAGAAACGAGAAATTTGAAAAATCGAAAAATTAAAAAATCGAAAACTGAAGAATAAGTTAACTTTAACTTATTTTTGTGTTTATTGTTAATTTTCATGTCCTGGCCCTTTCTGTTTCAAATACCATTTAATTATATCTTAAGGGGTATCCCGTTGAACAAATGAATTAAATAAATACATTCCCAAATTGAAAAATCAAAAAACTGAAATGTCGAAAAATGGAAAAATTAAGAACTGAAAAATCGAAACATGGAAGAATTGTAAAATCGAAAAATAGAAAAATCGAAGCTCTCAAAAGTCGAAAACTAAAATCGGAAAAGCCCAAAATCGAAAAATTGGTAAATTAGAAACTGAAACATTGAAAAATTTCAATTTACAAAAAAAAAAAAACGATAAATGGAGAAATAGAAAAAAACTTTTTAATCTATGGAGTTTTGAATATTTTCTCCGAATTTTCCATTTCTCGATTTTTCAAATTTTTGACATTTCAGTTTTTGATTTTCCAATTTCTCAATTTTCCTAGATATTACAAATTTCAGTTTTTCGATTTTCCAACTTTTCGATACATGGATTTTTGACATTTCACCTTTTTGCTATTTCGGTTTTTCAGTTCTCAGTTTTTTTATTTTTCCATTTCTTTGTTTAGGACTTCGATTTTTCCGTTTCTCGATTTTTGGTGTTTTCTATTTTCGATTTTACAATTTTCAAATATTTGAATTTCTCGATTTTTCGACTTTTCTTCAATTTTTGAATTGTTCGACTCTTCGATTTCTGGATTTTTCAATTCCCCGATTTTTGTCATTCGATTTTTAAATATGTGGAACGTTCGATTTTTGGTTTTTTCGATTTTATAATTATCAAATATTCCAACTTCTCGTTTTTCCGATATTTTGACTTTTGAATTCTTCGATTTTCCAATTTTTAAATTGTTCATTTTCCGAATATACGATCTTTTAATTTTTCGAGTTGTCGATTTTTCTAGATATTTCAATTTCTGTATTTTTAGACTATTCGATTTTTCGATTCGAAGTTCCGATTTTTCCAGTTCTTGATTTTTCGACTTTATCATTTTTTATGGCACGTTTTATCAATTAATCATATTTAGCAAAATTTGTGCATATTTCGAGCAATTTCGTGCATAAAAATCCGCCCACTATAACAAATATTTGTGCATATAAATCCGCTCTTTACATAAACGTTGGACCGGAAACTAATAAACCCTCGCCTGAGCCAAGTTCAAACACCAACCGGTAAACAATACAATAATAGCCCCCTTATACAACTGCAACTACGACACGCTTGCACACATTTAATTTTGGCACCAGGCATGATTAAAGTGCAAAGTCTGTAAACAACGGTCCAAAGTGTCACCTATTTTCGGCTCCAATATTTCTAACAACACTTACTTGGAAAGAGCCCCAGGCGTACTCGAGCTCTTCTTCCTTGCTCGAGACCTCCGGAACCTTCAACAGCGGCTTAGCAGCGGGACCACACGGCGCCTGAAAATCGCGCTTTCACGTCATTTGCATACACAAACCGCTATCTTTGATTGTCTTTTTATTTAACACTCGGACTTACCGGTACTGGAAGCGCCAACAGTTCACTCTCTGGGGCCAAATCGTCAAAGAGCGAAGACCGACTTCGTTTGGACAGCCATTGGCGTTGCATCGCGTCAAGTTTGGCATCTTCTTGGACACTCGATGGGGACATCATTTTGCTGAAATTTATTAAAAGCGTATAAATAACAAACGACCTCAAGTTAAAACCGGCTGAGGTCAAGAATCTCAAGTACGTTGCATTGGCGGACAAATCGATAGTAGTCGGAAGTGGAAGTTAATTTGTAATGAGATTGTCTGGTTTAAAACGGAATATTTTTTTATTCGGGAGCAGTGGCGTAGCTAACTTCCACTCTGTAAAGTTTTTGAGACCAAATTAACATTTTCTAAAATTTTGCATTGAAATACTAATAGAGCAACAAATTTAAATGAATCGATTTTTTTTTACGAAGACTACAGCTTCATCTATTTCACTTTTCTTTTTTGATGTTAAAATAATTTCAGCTCATAACTGTTGAGAGATTATATCTAATGGCAATTAGAGAATCAAATCTCGATGACCATCTGGTGGGGCATAACTTTTTTAAAGTTTTTTTATAACACACTTATCATTTTCTTTCATTTCAATGTTAAGTTGTTGTCATCCATTCTTAACAGAATCATTAAGAACTAAATTGAGGTTATGTGTAGCGCAATGAACATATTCGGCGTAATGATGTTGTTTCAAGTGCTTCATTTTTTTATATCATTTTTCCGATTTTTTAATTTTCATTTTCTGGATTTTATATCACAATTTTTCGTTTATTCAATTTTTCACATTTTCAATTCCTCGATTTTCCAAATTTCAATACATATTTAGATTTTACAATAATTTTCCTGTTTTCGACCGCCATTTTTCGATCTTTAAGTTTCTCAATTTGTAATCTTTCGATTTTTGAATTTTCCGTTTCTTCAATTTCTCAAGTTTTTAGTTTTCTCGAAGCGTTCCTTTTATACTTTTGCGTTTTTTCAGTTTGAATTTTCAATTTTACAATTTTTATATTTTACAACTTTTCCATTTTGTTTATTCGGAAAGTAGAAACTTCGAAAAATTGAAAAATCGGAAAATTAAAAAATTGGAAAAAATTGAAAAAACAAACAATTGCAAAATCGATAAAACGGAAAATCGAATGGAATGTGTTTTTACGATTTTTAAAATTTTTCGATTTTTGGAATGTTCTGTTTCTCATATTTTTGTTTATCGATGTTTTTAGTTTTTCGATTTTTCCGTTTATTTTTTTTTTTAAGTAAATATTTCAATTTTGAATTTTCCGATTTCGACCTATTTCGATTTCTCGATCTTTTGAAGGCTCAAGTTTTCGATTTCGATTTCTTGGTTTTTCGATTTTCATAATTTTAGATTTTTCTAGTATACAGGGTGTTGCTTTTATTTGATACAACCCCTGTAACTTTTTTATTCTTGAAGATAAACCCGTAGTTCTTTAACCAAATTTGTATCATTCTCAAAGATTTATATGATGGTAAGCACACATTTTTATTATCACTGGCGGTAGAACCGGAAATGACGTCAACTTATTTTTTTTTAATGGAACACTAGGTATATTTTTTCATAAATGGAAAGATTGATTTTTTCACTACAAAAAATCACAAGCAACCAATATTCTAAAATCAATAATAAAAAAGTTATTTAGTAAAATATCTCCAAAATTTTCCGTTTATTTCAAAATCTAGTTGCTTGAAAAACAATTGAAAAATTGTTGTCATCACTAGATCTTTTAAAATGATACAAATTTGCTCAAAGAACTACAGATTTATCTTTAAAAATAAAAAATTTACAGGGGTTGTATCAAATAAAAGAAACACCCGGTATATTTTAAATTTTCGCTTTTATAATCTTTATGTTTCGATTTCCCGATTTTTATTTTTTAATGTGTTTCAATTTTTCCATTTTTGGAATTTTCGATTTCTCATATCTCAATTTTCCAATTAAAAAAATTTTTCGATTTCTCGATTTTTAAATTTTTGGCTATCTCAATTTTTCAACATCGCAATTTTGGGAATTTTTCAATTTCTATATTTTTCAGATTTTCCATATTTTCATTTTCCCGATTATGTAGTTTTCATTTTCTTGATTTTATATCACAATTTTTCATTTTTCCATTACCTTTATTTTTTCAATGTTTCTTTAGATTTTATAATTTTTTGTTTATTCAATTTTTTACATTTTCAATCTTTGATTTTTTAAGTTCTTGATTTCCAATTTTTTTATTTTCCGAAGCTTTCATTTTGTACTTTTTCAGTTTTACAATTTTTCTATTTTAGAATTTTTCGATTTTTTTTATTCGGAAAGTTAAAAACTCGAAAAACTGAAAAATTGAAACAATGAAAAACTAAAAACCGAGAAACTTAAAAATCTAAAAAAAATTAATGAATCGAAGAATGGGAAAGAAGAAAAACCATTCGAATTGAAAAATTGGAAAATCGAAAAATTATAGAATCTTGAAAACTGTAAAGTCCAAAAACTGTGACATTCAAATACCGAAAAATTGAAAAATTCCAAAAACGAAAAACTGAAAAAGTGAACAACTTTAAAAATTATAATTATTAGAAGTGTTACACAATTAAAATGAAAACTAGAAAAACTGCAAATGAAAAATTAAATAAACGGAAAATTGAAAGCCGAAAATTGAAAAAATAAAGAAAATTAAAAACCCACACGAAAAATTGCAAATCGAAAAGTTGACGAAATTAAAAACTGAAAACTCGTGAAATTTGCAAACTCAAATTTTAGAGTTCATCTAAAAGTTGGAAAACCAAATACTGAAAAATCGAGAAATCGAAAATTTTCAAAACTGAAAAGTCGAAAGATTGAAAAATCGAAATTTGGAAAATCGAAAAACCGAGGAATTCAAACTGAAAAAAGATCGAGAATTCAAGATGTCGAAAAATCTAATTAACTAAAATTTAAAAAATAGAAAAATTACAATAACGAAAAATTTAACATTAAAAAAAAACACAAAATTAAAAAGTCGAAAAATCGAGAAATGGAAAAATGAAAATTTAGAAAAACCCAAGATTGAAAAGCATAAAAAAATTAAACTCGGGAAATCGGAACGTAAAAAAAAAATAAAATCGAAAAATTGAAAAATTTTAAATTTAAAAATTCGAAAACTTGAAAAACCGAAAAACTGAAGAATGAAAAACTAAAAAATCGACAAATTGAAAAATCGTAAAACTGAAAAGTCGAAAAATTGAAAAACCCAAAAATCGATTTCCGGTATATTATATAATAAAAATTTAAAAAGTTGAAAAATGAAAATATCACAAAACTGAAAAATATAAGACATTCTCAAAATAGAAATGTTGAAAAACTGAGAAATCGAAAACTTGAAAAATCCAGAAATCGAAAAAAAAGAACGAAAAGTAAAAACATTTTAAAATCGAAAAAACGAAAAATCGAGATGTAAAATCGAAAAATTGGAGTACACATTAAAAAGGTTAAAATCGGGAGATAAGCATAACAAAACATAAAATCGGAAAATGGAGAATTTTAATAATCGAAAAACTTGAAGAAATAAAAAATTGTAAAATGGAAAAGCCGAGAAATCGAAATTAAAAAATTGAGACATCAAAAGATCCGAGAAATGGAGAAATCGAAATAGCCCGAAATCGAAAAACCGGAAAATTTAAAACTAAAATACATATTTAAACTTAAAAAAAAAACGATAAATCAAAATATTCAAAATTCAAAAAATCAGAAATTTTAAAAATCGAAACATCGAGAAATCGAAATATCAAAAAAGTGAAAAATTTTAAATTAAAAAATTGGAGATATTGAAAAATCCCAAAATTGGAACAACGGAAACTTCAAAAATCGATAAATTGGAAAGAGGAAAAATCGAAAAATCAAAGAATTGATTAATAGAGAAATTAAGTAATGTAAAAATGAAAATTTAAAAAAGGCAAAAATTGAAAAATTGTAAAACTGAAATATCGAAAAATTAAGCAAACTAAAAATCGAGAAATCAAGAAATCGACAAATTGTAATTCAATTTTGTTTTATTTTTCCACAAAAATTTCGATGTCGAAGATAAAAATTCAACACGGATTCATAAACAATAGGTACACTGTTACTTTTTTTTAATTTATATAACATTTATTTGACAAAACTGTAGAACTGAACGAAAAATAGAAACATTGAAAAACTAAAAATCGAGAAAAAATTAATGAATCAAAGAACGAATTAAATCGAAAAATGTAAAGTTCAAAAACTAACGTTCAAAGATCGAAAAATTAAAAAATTCCAAAAACGAAAAATTGAAAAAGTGAACAACTCTAATAAAAATTATAATTATTATTACATATCTACAATGAAAACTAGAAAACCTGCAAATCAAAAATTGAAGAAACGAAAAATTGAAAACAAAAAAAATTGAAAAATCCAAAAACTGAAAAATTTCAAATTGAGAAAAAGAAAAAATATAAAAATTCGTTCCTCGCGCGTTAAAATATCTCGATTATTAATCGCCTTTATTAACAAACTCGTTCGTTAAATAGCTATTAATTTATTTGATCTCATTTTCAATTCCAATGAAAACCCCTTCTTTAAAAATTGCACATTTTAAAAAAATATATCGGGAGGTCTACTTTTAATTTGATTTATCGACGTTACGTCAGTTATAATGGATGGGTTGTGTTATCAATTATCATTGTCGAGTGGCAATTTAGCCATCGGACTAATTAAACTTGCATTAAAAACATCGATATTAATTCCAGGGAGGAATGGATGTCTCATTACGACAAAAATAGCCACTAAAAAAATAAATCGTGGCTTAAGAATTCTTGCTCTAGATAAAAAAATCGGCTGCGTTCCATTTCCAAAATTCGTATTGCATACCACCCAAATAAAACTGCTAATTCTGTCGGAGTTTAAAATTTATTGATCACAAGTATTGTAAATTATCACGATGAAGCCAATTGTTCGGTTCATTGGACTACATAATTGCTTAAAATCACCGAAACTGATGCTTTCATTAAAACTGGCTGAATCGAAGTAGGTAAAATTGATTGCGTTTGGTGTACAGTAATGAACTGGTTTTTACTGTTTTCCCTGAAGGTGGAATTTTACCTATATTGTGTAAGAAAGTATCGTTGTCAAGGATGAAGGTCTCTTGATAATTTACGGCGCTGTTGGAAACCCAATTCTACAAATTATGCAGGCGCATGCATACCGGGTTTTTCTAGGTAAGATTAGAAACAGGTAAAAACCGGACGGAAAGAGTTCTTACCCTAGAATTTTACAAAGTTTGAAAAAAACAATCTTACTGCGTTGAACTACTATACTATCAATAATGACTCAGAAGTGATAAAAGCGATGTGAAATTACACAACTGCATAACATCTCGCGTCTAGACACATTTCGCCGGGTCATGGTCGAAAAAAACTTTCTTATTTCGGTTTAAACCAACATAAAACTACCAAACTTGGTTGCAAGCACTTTCTTCGCACTTAAAAAAAATAGAAGGTTCTGGAAGGCACGAACGTGGCCGAATGTGCCGTTAGTCATTCGGTTTCTTATCATTTTTGCAGGCAAACAGTTCCCACGTGGTACGCATATAAATGCAATTGTTAATAAATTCTCTAACTCTACTTAAACTTTACTAGAATTTGTCTCGATTCTAGAATGGCGTCCCTCAACCCTGCGTCTCTAACTCAGTACAAGTAAAAAACCCTACAAAAAAATTACTAACTCACCAAATTAATTAATTCGAACGAACTTCTCAACTTCTTGAAACTGCTAACACACGATTTCTTTCGATTATTATTAACTCGAATAGAAATCACTTTTTTTCACACAGCGTTGCGACTCTTCGTCTTCGGCGTCTCGACTGCGAATGCTTTCATTTATTACCAGCAGTGACAGGAATATCTTCAGCACTGGGCGTTTCGCTGGGGTTAGTGAGGAAAGGCGCATTCTTATTGGTCCTCACGTGATCATGTAGCTAACACATGCTCGCTCAAGATGTTGGTAAATATAGATTACACATTCACGTGCTTGTTTTTTCGTATTTTTGTGATTAGATTGATTGTGCAAATTTTGCCCGATTCGGAGAATTTCGGACAAAGGTCGACGACGGTGCGTCTTATCGTGGATCCCCCGCGGAGGTTTTGTGGCTACGAGATGATGGAAAGTTTTGGGTTATCTGGATTTGACGATTTTTGATTAGTGGTGAGGTAATGTTGGAGGCATGTGACTTAGAGATACGGGTTTTTTTGGGTTTTTGTGTGGTTATTGATGGATTTGAATTTTTCTGAAAAAAAAAAAAATCGTGGTGAGCACTTGGATATTTGACAAGTATTCTGAATTACAACGAAAATTAGTATATAATTATTAGTTAGGCTAGTTTATATAACAATATTGCGTCGACCGTGACACTGACCTTGTATATAAATAAGTATTCTAAAAAATTATGTTTGAGCAAAAAATCGTTGCCAAAGAATTTAATTGTCGCGATGTCGTCAGAAAATATTTATACCAGGCGTGAAATACAAAACAACATCGAAAAATCGAGAAGTTCTAATATTTAAAAAATCGAAAAAAATCTAAAACTCAATGTCGAAAAATTGGGGAATAAACAAAAAATGAACAATCGAAACGTCGAAGAACTGGAAATTCGAAAAACCGAGAAATCGAGAAATGAAAATGTCGAAAAAAATTGAAACATGGAAAAATCGAAATGTTGAGAAGTCTAAAAATCAAGAAATCGAAATAGCCCAAAATCGAAAATTTGAACATTCGAAAAGTCGAAATCTCGATAAATCCAAAAATTTTAAAACTGAAAAATAAAAAAACAAAAAACTGAAGAATTGGAACATCGAAAAATTTAAAAACCGAAGAAAAATTGTGAAATACTAAAATCGAAAACTGAGATATCGAGAAATCACGAAGTCGAAAAATCGAAAAACAGAATTGAAAAAAAAAAGGAAAAAAATGGAAAATCTAAAAATCGGAAAACTGAGAAATCGAAATTGCCCAAAATCGAAAAATTGAGAACTGAAAAGGGGAAAAAAATGGAAAATCTACAAATCAGGAAACTGAGAATCGAGAAATTGAAAAACTGAAAAATCTAAAATTTAAAAAATCGAAAAATTAAAATACTAAAAAATTGAAGGATCGAAAAATATAAAAATCGAAAAGTCTAAACGTTCAAAACTCGAAAAATCAAAAAATCGAAATAGCCCAAAATCGAAAATTTGAAAAAATCGGCAAACTGAACATTTAAAAAGTCAAAAGCTCGATAAATCCCAAAATTTTAAAACTGAAAAATAAAAAAATAAGAAATCGAAAATTTTAAATTTAAGAAATCGAAAAATGAGGATATCAAATTGAAGAATTGAAACATCGTAAAATTGAAAAACCGAAGAAAAATTGTGAAAAAAAAAATGGAAAAATCGAGAAATCACGAAGTCGAAAAATTGGGAAATCCAAATAATCCAAAATCGAAAAATTGAAAAATTGAGAATTGAAAAAAAAGGAAAAAAATGGAAAATCTAAAAATCGGAAAGCTGAACAAATGAAAAATTGAAACATCCCAAAACTCGATATCGAAAAATCTATAAATTGAAAAATTGAAAAACCCAGAAGTCAAAAAAAGATCGAGAAATCGAAAAGTCGAAAAACTGAAAAATCGAAATAGCCCGAAATCCAAAAATTGAGAATTGAAAAGGGGAAAAAATGGAAAATCTACAAATCGTGAAACAGAGAATCGAGAAATTGAAAAACTGAAAAATCTAAAATTTAAAAAATCGAAAAATTAAAATACTAAAAAATTGAAGGATCGAAAAATTGAAAAATCCCAAAACTCAAATACCGAAAAAATGATGAAGCCATAAATCGAAAACTCCAAGATGAAAAATCGAAACATCAAAAAATATAAAAATCTAAAAGTCTAAAAGTTCAAAATTCGAAAAATCGAAATAGCCCAAAATCGAAAATTTGAAAAAATCGGCAAACTGAACATTCAAAAAGTCAAAATCACGATAAATCCAAAAATTTTAAAACTGAAAAATAAAAAAACGAGAAATCGAAAATTTTAAATTTAAGAAATCGAAGAATTGAAATATCGCAAAATTGAAAAACTGAAGAAAAATTGTGAAAAAAACGAAAAATCGAGAAATCACAAAGTCGAAAAATTGGGAAATCCAAATAATCCAAAATCGAAAAATTGAAAAATTGAGAATTGAAAAAAAAGGAAAAAAATTGGAAAATCTAAAAATCGGAAAACTGAAGAAACGAAAAATTGAAAAATACGAAAATTCAATATCGAAAAATTGATAAATCTATAAATCGAAAAACCGAGAAGTCAAAAGATCGAGAAATCGAAAAGTTGAAAGACTGAGAAATCGAAATAGCCCAAAATCGAAAAATTGAGAATTGAAAAAGGGAAAAAATGGAAAATCTACAAATCGGGAAACTGAGAATCGAAAAAATTGAAAAACTGAAAAATCTAAGATTTAAAAAATCGAAAAATATAAAAATCGAAAAGTCTAAAAGTTCAAAATTCAAAAAATCGAAAATCAATAAATCGAAATATCCCAAAATCGAAAATTTGAAAAAATCGGCAAACTGAACATTCAAAAAGTCAAAATCTCGATAAATCCAAAAATTTTAAAACGAAAAATAAAAAAATGAGAAATCGAAAATTTTAAATTTAAGAAATCGAAAAATTAGAATACCAGATTGAAGAATTGGAACATCAGAAAATCCCGAAACTCAAATATTGAAAAATTGAAAAACCGAAGAAAAACTGTGAAACACCGTAAAATCGAGAAATCACGAAGTCGAAAAATTGGGAAATCCAAATAGTCCAAAATCGAAAAATCGAAAAAAAATGAGAATTGAAAAAAAAAAAGGAAAAAAAATGGAAAATCTAAAAATCGGAAAACTGAACAAACGAAAAATTGAAAAATCCCAAAACTCAATATCGAAAAATCTATAAATCTGTAAATCGAAAAACCGAGAAGTCAAAAAAAAGATCGATAAATCGAAAAATCGAAAAACTGAGAAATCGAAATAGCCCAAAATCGAAAAATTGTGAATTGAAAAACTGAAAAATCTAAAATTTAAAAAATCGAAAAATTAAAATATGTATTAAAAAATTTAAGGATCGAAAAATTGAAAAATCCCAAAACTCAAATACCGAAAAAATTTTAAATTTAAGAAATCGAAAAATGGGGATATCAAATTGGAGAATTGAAACATCGCAAAATTGAAAAACCGAAGAAAAATTGTGAAAAACTGTAAAATCGGAAAATCGAGAAATCACGAAGTCGAAAAATTGGGAAATACAAATCATCCAAAATCGAAAAATTGAGAATTGAAAAAAAGAGAAAAAATGGAAAATCTAAAAATCGGAAAACTGAACAAACGAAAAATCGAAAAATCTATACTTTAAAAAATTGGAAAATTGAAGAATTGAGACATCCCAAAACTCAATATCGAAAAATTGATAAATCCATAAATCGAAAAACCCAGAAGTCAAAAAAAAGATCGAGAAATCGAAAAATCGAAAAACTGAGAAATCGAAATGGCCTAAAATCGAAAAATTGAGAATTGAAAAATTGAAATAAATGGAAAATCTACAAATCGAGAAACTGAAAAACTGAAAAATCGAAAATTTAAAAAATCGAAAAATTAAAATACATTAAAAAATTAAAGGATCGAAAAATTGAAAAATCCCAAAAAAAACTCAAATACCGAAAAAATTATAAAGCCATAAATCGAAAAAGAAAAATATAAAAATCAAAAAGTCTAAAAGTTCAAAATTCGAAAAATTGAAAAATCAAAAAATCGAAATAGCCCAAAATCGAAAATTTGAAGAAATCGGCAGAATGAACATTCAAAAAGTCAAAATCTCGATAAATCCAAAAATTTTAAAACTGAAAAATAAAAAAATGAGAAATCGAAAATTTTAAATTTAAGAAATCGAAAAATGAGGATATCAAATTTAAGAATTGATACATCGCAAAATTGAAAAACCGAAGAAAAACTGTGTAACACTGTAAAATCGAAAAATGAAATATCAAGAAATCACGAAGTCGAAAAATTGGGAAATCCAAATAGTCCAAAATCGAAAAAAAAGGAAAAAAATGGAAAATATAAAAATCGGAAAACTGAACAAACGAAAAATTGAAAAATCCCAAAACTCAATATCGAAAAATCTAAAACTGAGAAATTTTAAAACTGAAAAATAAAAAAATAAGAAATCGAAAATTTTAAATTTAAGAAATCGAAAAATGAGGATTTCAAATTGGAGAATTGAAACATCGCAAAATTGAAAAACCGAAGAAAAATTGTGAAAAAAAAAATGGAAAAATCGAGAAATCACAAAGTCGAAAAATTGGGAAATCCAAATAATCCAAAATCGAAAAATTGAAAAATTGAGAATTGAAAAAAAAAAGGAAAAAAAAGGAAAATATAAAAATCGAAAAACTGAACAAACGAAAAATTGAAAAATCCCAAAACTCAATATCGAAAAATCTACAAATCTATAAATCGAAAAACCGAGAAGTCAAAAAAAAATCGAGAAATCGAAAAGTGGAAAAACTGAGAAATCGAAATATCCCAAAATCGAAAAATTGAGAATTGAAAAGGGAAAAAAATGGAAAATCTACAAATCGAGATTCTGAGAATCGAAAAATTGAAAAACTGAAAAATCTAAAATTTAAAAAATCGAAAAAAAGACAAACCAAAAAATCTACAACTTAATGTCGAAAAATTGGGAAATAAACAAAATAATGAAAAATCGAAACGTCGAAGAATTGGAAATTCGAAAAACCGAGAAATCGAGAAATCAAAATATCGAAAAAAAAAATTGAAACATGGAAAAATCGAAACATTGAGAACTGAAAAAAATTGCAAAATTTGAAGAATCTAAAATTTAAAAAATCGAAATGTTGAGAAATCGAAATAACCCAAAATCGAAAATTTGAAAAAATTCGGCAAACATTCGAAAAGTCGAAATCTCGATAAATCCATTTTTTTAGAGAACTGAAAAATAAAAAAATGTAAAATAGAAAATTTTAAATTTAAGAAATCGAAAAATTAGAATACCAGATTGGAGAATTGGAACATCGGAAAATCCCGAAACTCAAATATCGAAAAATTGAAACACCGTAGAAAAATTGTGAAACACTGTAAAATCGAAAAATCGAGAAATCACGAAGTCGAAAATTGGAAAATCCAAATACATAATCCAAAATCGAAAGATTGAGAACTGAAAAAAAAAGGAAAAATGGAAAATCTAAAAATCGGAAAACTGAACAAACGAAAAATTAAAAATTTAAGAAATAGAAAAATTAAAATATTAGAAAATTGAAGGATCGAAAAATTGAAAAATCCCAAAATTCAAATACCGAAAAAATGATAAAGCCATAAATCGAAAAATCCAAAGATAAAAAATCGAAACATCAAAGAATTGGAAGATCGAAAAATATAAATATCGAAAAGTCTAAAATTTGACAATTCGAAAAATCGAAAAGTTGAAAAGACGAAAAATCAAGAAATCGAAATAGCCCAAAATCGAAAACTTGAAAAATTTAAATTAAAAAATCGGCAATTTGAACATTCGAAAAGTCAAAATCTCGATAAATCCAAAAATTTTAAAACTGAAAAATAAAAAAACGAGAAATTGAAAATTTTAAATTTAAGAAACCGATAAATTAGAATATCAAATTGAAGAATTGAAATATTGGAAAATCCCAAAACTCAAATATCGAAAAATTGAAAAACCGATGAAAAATTGTGAAACACCGTAAAATCGAAAAATCGAGAAATCACGAAGTCGAAAATTGGGAAATCCAAATACATAATCCAAAATCGAAAGATTGAGAACTGAAAAAAAGGGAAAAATGGAAAATCTAAAAATCGGAAAACTGAACAAACGAAAAATTGATAAATCTATAAATCGAAAAATTGAAAAACCAAGAAATCGAAAAATTACAAAATTGAAATATCGATAAATCGAAAAATCGAAATAGGCCAAAATCGAAACTTTGAAAATTAAAAAAAAATGGCAAACTGAACGTCTGAAAAATCGAAAAATTTTAAAACTGGAAAATCAAAAAAACGAAAACCGAGATATCAAAAATTTTAAAATTTAAGAAATCGAACAATTAGAATATCAATTTGAAGAATATTGGAAAATCCCGAAACTCCAATATCGAAAAATAGAAAAATCGAAGAAAAATTGTGAAAAACTGTAAAGAGAAATCGAAACGTCTAAATTTTCGAAAAATCAAAAACCTGAAAAACTGTTAAACTGAAAAATCTGAAATTTAAAAAATCGAAAAATTAAAATATCAAAAAAGTGAAGAATCGAAAAATTAAAAAATCCCAAAACTCAAATATCGAAACATCAAAAAATGGGAAGATCGAAAAATATAAAAATCGAAAAGCCTAAAAGTTGAAAATTCGAAAAATCGAAAAACCAAAATATCGAAAAGTTGAGAAGCCGAAAAATCAAGAAATCGAAATAAGCCAAAATGGAAAAATTGAATAAATTAAATTTTAAAAAATTGGCAAACTGAACATTCGAGAAAGCGAAATCTCTACAAATCGAAAACTGAAAAATCAAAAAAATGAGAAATCGAGTTATCAAAAAATTTAAAAATTAAAAAATCGAAAAATTAGAATATCAAACTGAGGAATTGAAACATTGGAAAATCCCGAAACTCAAATATCGAAAAATTGAAAAACCGAAGAAAAATTGTGAAAAACTGTAAAAGCGAAATCTGAAAAATCGAGAAATCACGAAGTCGAAAAATTGAGATATCCAAATAGTCCAAAATAGAAAAATTGAAAATAGAAAAAAAGGGAATAAAATGGAAAACCTAAAAATCGGAAAATTGAACAAACGAAAAATTGAAAAACCGAAAAATCTAAAATTCAAAAGATTCGAAAAATTAAAATATCAAAAAATTGAAGAATTGAAAAATCCCAAAACTCAAATATTGAAAAATTGATTAATCCATAAATCGAAAAATCGAAAAACCAAGAAATCAAAAGATCCACAAATCGAAAAGTCGAAAAATTAATTGAAAAAAGGAAAAAAATGGAAAATCTACAAATCGGGAAATTGAACAATCGAAAAATCCCAAAACTCAAATATCGAAAAATTGATAAATCCAACAATCGAAAAATCGAAAAATTGGAAAATCGAAAAACCAAGAAATCGAAAAATTAGAAAATTGAAATTTAAAAAAGAATGGCAAACTGAACATTCGAAAAATCGAAATCTCTATAAATCCAAAAATTTTTGAAAAATCAAAAAAACGAGAAATCGAGAAATCAAAAGATTTTAAATTTAAGCAATCGAAAAATTAGAATATCAAATTGAAGAATTGAAACATTGGAAAATCCCGAAACTCAAATATCGAAAAACTGAAAAATCGGAGAATAATTGAGAAAAACTAAAACCGAGAAATCGAAAAGTCTAAATTTTCGAAAAATTGAAAAATCCAAAAGCTGAAAAATCGAAAACCTAAAAAATCGAAAAATCGAGAAATCAAGAAGTCGAAAAATTGGGAAATCCAAGTAGTCCAATATCGAAAAATCGAATAGTTGATAGTTAAAAAAAAAGGGAAGAAATGCAAAATTTAAAAATCGGGAAAGTGAACAAACAAAAAATTGAAGCATCGAAAAATTGAAAAATCAAGACAAGCTAAAATCGAAAAATTGAGAATTGAAAAAAGGGGGAAATTGGAAAACCTACAAATCGGAAACTGAACAATTGAAAAATTGAAAAATCCCAAAACCCAAATATCGAAAAATTGATAAATCTATAAAGCGAAAAATTAAAAAATTGAAACATCTGGACAAGTCGAAACGTCGAAAAATCGAAATCTCGATGAATCCAAAAATTTTAAAACTCAAAAATCAAAAAAACGAGAAATCGAAATGTCAAAAAATTTAAAATTCAAGAAATCGACAAATTAAAATATTAAATTCAAGAATTAAAAAATTGAAAAATCCCTAAACTCAAATACGAAAAATTGAGAACTGTAAAACCGACAAATCGAAAATTGAAAACATTCGAAAACCTGAAAAACCAAAAATTTGAAAAACTGAAAACCCGAAAAATCGTAAAACCAAGAAGTCGAAAAACCGAAATCAAAAAATTGAAAAATATAAAAATTTTAAAACTGAAAAATCGAAAGCCTGAAAAATCAGAAAATTTATCAAATTAAAGAATTGGAAAATCCCATAATTCAAATATGGAAAATTGAAGAAAAATTGAGAAGAACTATAAAATCGAGAAATCGAAAAACTGAAAAATTGAAAACCTGAAAAATCGAAAAACAGAAATGGGAAAATAAAAAAATTGAAAATTGAGAAACGCCAAAAATTAAAAGAATGGAAAATAGAAAAATTGAAAAATGTCAAAACTGAAATATTTGAATAATTGAAAATCGAGGAATTGAAAAATCGAGGAAGCAAGAAATCGAGAAACCGAAACATCGGAAAATCGAGAAATGGCAAAATAAAAAAATTAATAATCGAAAAACCGAAAATCGTGAAATTGAAAAATCGAAAAATTTTAATATCAAAAAACTTAAAATACCAAAACTAGAATATCGAAAAATTGTACATGAACGGATAAATTTTGATTAACGATGAACAATGTTTCAGATAAGTTTGCAAAATTTCAAAGCATTCGATTTTGCAATTTCAAAGTTAAACTGTAAAATGTTATACATTTTTTTTTTCGAAAAATCTGGATGTCTAGGGTAAAAACTCAACACAGATTCATAAACCACAAGTGAAGGAGTACGTTATTTCACAAAATTTAAACGTTTACTAGTGGAAAATTTGGAGATGACGTCATTCCATTGTTAGTGTCGACGACCAGTCAAATTTTGGTTAGCGTAACATACATATAAAAACGTCGAGAAACATGAAAGTGACCAGTCGCCCGATGGACTCAATTACGTTTACCCTTGGGAAGTAAAATCAAATGATTCTTATTTAATTTTCATAATTGTCTATAACATTTACGTTATAATTAGTAAACCGTTTTAAATATAAACCGCTTTATTTTTAGCCACATGATATACTCATTTAAGGAAAAACATTTATATCTCCCGGTAAACATTTCTTATTTATAACGCGCCAATTTTAGTCCAAATCGTAGATTATCCAAGCACTCAGTTTAATTACACGATTTTGCGTTGTACCATAAATCCATATTTTATCTCCTACTCACAGTAATGCAATAACAAACAAAGCTTGCAATTTTATGAATACTTAACAGCACACAGATAATTCAGATTTTCCGATAAGTTATTTATATGCGTATTTAATTTAACGCTAGGTGGGCATTGTTTTTCGTTTTCCATTTTTAATTTAATAAAAATTTCACGGTCTTATCAATTACAAGTGAAATGAACCCAAGACCTACATTCTTTACGTCAATGGAGCTATTAATTTTAAGTAGTTGATAACAGTTAACATTATTCCGGGCCGGGTTAACTAAGATGGCGTAAGCAATCATGCTGTAAATCCATGATTGAAATCAGTAGTTTTTAATTAGTAGGATGGTATGTTGGCGTTTTATCGATATAAACACAAACAAAGTTTTTAACGAAAATCATTTCAATTAATTGCTTCCGAGATTGTTTGACAAAGCACAGGACTAAATATTTAAAACGAATAGTAGGAAAATACGCAACAGGAGTTATGTATAATTTTTCTGCGCATTTATTATTGCATTAGTCGTCTTATCTGAAAGTATAATGTCATTATTAATTCTCTATTGTCACAGCAGTCTGCAAACAATTTTTTTTTATAAAAATTTATTAAAAACTTAATATTGTTATCTATAAAACCAACACTAAAACGATGATGACTCATTTTTCTTAGTCTTAAAATTACAACTTAATTAATACTTCCCTTAAACCAAAAAATCACTCTGGAAGCTTAGGATCCCTAATCCCCCCTGTGGTAATAATAAACGCCTCCTCCCTCTCCTCCAACTCCGGGCTATCATACATCATCGCAATCCTCACATTCCCGGCAACTTTTTTTAAAGCGACTCGCGTTGTAGAGGCGTGCGCTAAAATATTCCCACCAACTGGCTTAGCGTCGTCGTGCAGACCCACATCAAGGAGGGAATATTTCATGTCTGAACTGATCTGGTTAGTTATGAAAACGGCAATGTTGTATTCTTCACTCATCTTCTGAAGAAGGGACATCATTTGTCCTAGTTTCTGCTGTCTGTGGACGAGCTCGCCCCGACCGAAAAAATCGACGCGGAAGAGGGCTATGATCGAGTCGACTATTAACAGCTTGAATAAGCCAACTTCTTCATGGAATTTTGCCCCAACACTGTAAAATACATAAAATAAATCAAAAGTGGATATTGAGAGGACTGTGAATTTGAAAAGTACTTCTTCAGGAGCTCGTACTGCTGCTCGGAATTGTACGCTCTGGCGTAGAGCACATTTTCAAGGACTTTTTTCTCGTCTAAACTGAAGCGGCGGGCGACCTGGCGGATGCGCTCAGGGCGGCTAAGAATAGAGTCAAGGAAAATGCACAAACTCAAAAAGTGTAATGTTTTCAATTCAACGGGCTATTTTTCTCCAGCATGACAATACAGCAATGAGTAACTCTAGAATATTAACAGAGAACATAGAGAAGCGTCATAGTTTAAATTAATTGACTTATGTTGGCAACAGTGTTTGTTTCTAACTAGGAATAAAATTAACTAGAAAAAATGTCATAATATTTTTAACGACGCGTTTTATTTTCGACCAATTGACATTAGATTTACCAAAATATTACAAGCTGCTTACTGTTTCCTTCACTTTAATTCAGGTCACACGAATTACAGTTCGTCGTCTGAGAACTCGTTTGATCTACAGACCACAGCGCGCTCAGGCCAATGTCGACTCTAAGCGTTCGGAAACGATTTGATTTATAAGCCATGAGGGGCAATTCTGAATCAAAGTTGTTAAATTTAAAGGGTGTTAAATTGCAAATTTCCATAGTAACGAGTTAAATCCGAAAATCTGATTGGCTGTTTATTTTTTAACAACCTTTAAATTTTAACGGGTTTGATTCAGAATTGGGCCTTACGTCCGTGATCTGATACAAATCCGAACCGGTTTCGACCATAATTTCTTGCTGTTTCAACTTTCGAAGTCACAGTTTTTCGAAATTTTAGTTTGTGGATTTTTCAGTTTACTCCTATTTATTATTCAACTTTTGGATTTTACAATTTCTCAATTTTTCAATTTTTGACTTTATAAACTCTCTATTGTCGATTTTTCAATTAATTGATTTTTCAGGTTTTTTGGTTTTTCAATTTTTCTATTTTTTCAGGTTTCGATTTTTCAACTTCACTTTTTTGATTCTTCGATTTCTCAATTTTTCAATTTTTTAATTTCTCAGTTTTTGGACATTTCAGTTTTGGGATTTTTCAGTTTACTTGTTATTCAGTTTTTCGATCTTACGATTTTGCAGGTTTTTGATTGTTCAATTTTTTTATTTTTTTAAGGTTTCGATACTTCGACTTCACTTTTTTGATTTTTCGATTTTTCAATTTTTCGATTCTTTGGATTCTCAGCTTTTGGATATTTCAGTTTTGGGATTTTTCAGTTTTTCGATTCGTCAGTTTTTCTTTCATTTTTCAGTTTTTCGATATTTCAGTTTTGGGATTTTTCAATATTTCTGTTCTTCGACTTTTCCATTTTTGACTTCTGGACTTTTCGATGTGTCGACTTTTTACTTTTTCGATTTTTAAATTTTAGATTTCTCAATTTTTTGGAATTTTAATTTTTCAATATTTAAAATTTTTGATTTTTCGATTTCTCGATTTTTCATTTCAGCTCTTCCATATTTCAATTTTTTAAATGTTTCGATTTCTTAATCTTTCGATTTTTCGACTTCCCGGTTTTAGATTTTGTTTTTCAATTGTCGTTTTTTCAATTCTTCGATTTTTAAATTTTAGATTTTTCAGTTTTTTGATATTTTACTTTTTCAATTTTTAAAATTTTAGATTTTTCGATTTTTCGATTTTTCATTTCAGTTCTTCGATATTTCAATTTCTCAAGTTTTCGAATTTTTCAAGTGTCTCGATTTCTTAATCTTTTGATTTTTCGACTTCCCGGTTTTAGATTTTCTGTTTTTCAATTGTCATTTTGTCAAATTTTCGATCTTTTAATTTTTCAAATTTGACTTTTCTAAACTCTCAATTTTTCGATTTTTCAATTAATCAATGTTTTGATTTTCCCATTTCTTGACATTCGAGTGTTTCGATTTTCCTGATCTTCAATTCTTTAATTTTTTTTATTTTTCAGGTTTTTGATTTTTCAATTTTTCGATTTTTTAAGGTTTCTATTTTTCGATTTCACGTTTTTGATTTTTCGATTTTTCAGTTTTAGGATTTTTCAATATTTCAATTCTTCGGCTTTTCTATTTTTGACTTCTGGATTTTTCGATGTGTCTACCTTATTACTTTTTCGATTTTTCAATTTTTGGATTTTACAATTTCTCAATTTTTCAATTTCTCGGTTTTCAGTTTTTCTCTTCAATTTTACGATTTTTAAATATTTCAATTTTTCAATTTTTGACTTTTTTAAAAACTCTTTATTTGTCGATTTTTCAATTGATTGTTCAGGTTTTTTGATTTTTCAATTTCACTTTTTTGATTCTTCGATTTCTCAATTTTTCAATTTTTTAATTTCTCAGTTTTTGGACATTTCAGTTTTGGGATTTTTCAGTTTACTTGTTATTCAATTTTTCGATCTTACGATTTTGCAGGTTTTTAATTGTTCAATTTTTCGATTTTTTTAAGGTTTCGATATTTCGACTTCACTTTTTTGATTTTTCGATTTCTCAATTTTTCTATTCTTTGGATTCTCAGTTTTTGGATATTTCAGTTTTGGGATGTTTCAATATTTCTGTTCTTCGACTTTTCCATTTTTGAATTCTGGATTTTTCGATGTGTCGACTGTTTACTTTTTCGATTTTTAAATTTTAGATTTCTCAATTTTTTGGAATTTTAATTTTTCAATATTTAAAATTTTTGATTTTTCGATTTCTCGATTTTTCATTTCAGCTCTTCCATATTTCAATTTTTCAAATGTTTCGATTTCTTATCTTTCGATTTTTCGACTTCCCGGTTTTAGATTTTCTGATTTTCAATTGTCGTTTTTTCAATTCTTCGATTTTTAAATTTTAGATTTTTCAGTTTTTTGATATTTTAATTTTTCAATATTTAAAATTGTAGATTTTTCGATTTCTCGATTTTTCATTTCAGTTGTTCGATATTTCAATTTTTCAAGTTTCCGAATTTTTCAAGTGTTTCGATTTCTTAATCTTTTGATTTTTCGACTTCCCGGTTTTAGATTTTCTGTTTTTCAATTGTCATTTTGTCAAATTTTCGATTTTTTAATTTTTCAAATTTGACTTTTCTAAGCTCTCAATTTTTCGATTTTTCATTAATCGATGTTTTGATGTTCCCATTTCTTGGCCTTCGAGTGTTTCGATTTTCCTGTTCTCCAATTCTTTAATTTTTTGATTTTTCAATTTTTCGATTTTTTAAGGTTTCTATTTTTCGACTTCACTTTTTTGATTTTTCGATTTTTCAGTTTTAGGATTTTTCAATATTTCAATTCTTCGACTTTTCTATTTTTGACTTCTGGATTTTTCGATGTGTCTACCTTATAACTTTTTCGATTTTTCAATTTTTGGTTTTTCAATTTTTCTATTTTTTCAGGTTTCGATTTTTCAACTTCACTTTTTTGATTCTTCGATTTCTCGATTTTTCATTTCAGCTCTTCCAAATTTCCATTTTTCAAACGTTTCGATTTCTTAATCTTTCGATTTTTCGACTTCCCGGTTTTAGATTTTGTTTTTCAATTGTCGTTTTTTCAATTCTTCGATTTTTAAATTTTAGATTTTTCGATTTCTCGATTTTTCATTTCAGTTCTTCGATATTTCAATTTCTCAAGTTTTCGAATTCTTAATCTTCTGATTTTTCGACTTCCCGGTTTTAGATTTTCTGTTTTTCAATTGTCATTTTGTCAAATTTTCGATATTTTAATTTTTCAAATTTGACTTTTCTAAACTCTCAATTTTTCGATTTTTCAATTAATCAATGTTTTGATTTTCCCATTTCTCGACATTCGAGTGTTTCGATTTTTTCTTTAATTTCTTTTAATTTTCAGGTTTTCGATTTTTCAATTTTTCGATTTTTTAAGGTTTCTATTTTTCGATTTCACTTTTTTGATTTTTCGATTTTTCAGTTATAGGATTTTTCAATATTTCAATTCTTCGGCTTTTCTATTTTTGACTTCTGGATTTTTCGATGTGTCTACCTTATTTTTTCAATTTTTGGATTTTACAATTTCTCAATTTTTCAATTTCTCGGTTTTCAGTTTTTCTCTTCAATTTTACGATTTTTAAATATTTCAGTTTTTCAATTTTTGACTTTTTTAAAAACTCTTTATTTGTCGATTTTTCAATTGATTTTTCAGGTTTTTTGATTTTTCAATTTCACTTTTTTGATTCTTCGATTTCTCAACTTTTCAATTTTTTAATTTCTCAGTTTTTGGACATTTCAGTTTTGGGATTTTTCAGTTTACTTGTTATTCAATTTTTCGATCTTACGATTTTGCAGGTTTTTAATTGTTCAATTTTTCGATTTTTTTAAGGTTTCGATATTTCGACTTCACTTTTTTGATTTTTCGATTTCTCAATTTTTCGATTCTTTGGATTCTCAGTTTTTGGATATTTCAGTTTTGGGATTTTTCAATATTTCTGTTCTTCGACTTTTCCATTTTTGACTTCTAGGCTTTTCGATGTGTCGACTTTTTACTTTTTCGATTTTTAAATTTTCGATTTCTCAATTTTTTGGAATTTTAATTTTTCAATATTTAAAATTTTGATTTTTCGATTTCTCGATTTTTCATTTCAGCTCTTCCATATTTCAATTTTTCAAATGTTTCGATTTCTTATCTTTCGATTTTTCGACGTCCCGGTTTTAGATTTTCTGATTTTCAATTGTCGTTTTTTCAATTCTTCGATTTGTAAATTTTAGATTTTTCAGTTTTTTGATATTCTAATTTTTCAATATTTAAAATTGTAGATTTTTCGATTTCTCGATTTTTCATTTCAGTTGTTCGATATTTCAATTTTTCAAGTTTCCGAATTTTTCAAGTGTTTCGATTTCTTAATCTTTTGATTTTTCGACTTCCCGGTTTTAGATTTTCTGTTTTTCAATTGTCATTTTGTCCAATTTTCGATTTTTTAATTTTTCAAATTTGACTTTTCTAAGTTCTCAATTTTTCGATTTTGCATTAATCGATGTTTTGATGTTCCCATTTCTTGACCTTCGAGTGTTTCGATTTTCCTGTTCTCCAATTCTTTAATTTTTTGATTTTTCAATTTTTCAATTTTTTAAGGTTTCTATTTTTCGACTTCACTTTTTTGATTTTTCGATTTTTCAATTTTTGGATTTTTAAATTTTAGATTTTTCAATCTTTTGATTTTTTAATTTTTCAAT